ATTAGCAGCCAATTCTAAAAAAATATAATGATTCCCGGCTTCAAACTTTAGGATTGCAATATCTTGGACCTGGTGGTTTCTGCTAAGAATAAAACATTCGTGACGCGTTTTAATAGAGGCAAGAATAATTCCCTCTTTACTGACAATTTGTTTAGGGGACTGCCTACGAGTTGATCGGAAAGACAATTGTTTTAGCGACAACGTGATCACAGGTCGACAGCCAACGACGTGGAGCACAGCAATGACGAGCGAGCCGGAAACCGAATTTACCGAAGATGGGACACCCACGATAACCACATATTTTACCACGTCAACCACTGCGGCCTCTACGACTTCTACAACAGAAGCGCCCGATATGCCGGACAACGTAGATCTTCTTCTGAACCAAACGCAAATTTTATTAGATCAAGCTCAATTTCTCTTAAAGATAGTTCAGGGACAAATTTGATGCTGAGTTTGAAATCTGAGATGAATATTGCAATCCTTTGTCAGAGGCGTTTGTAAAACGAAAAGAATAAACTACCTAGTTAATATAGTTTGGTCCGCAATTCTTCCATCCTGTAATTATATGATCCAATTGAGCGTGGTTTGGGAGCCATTTTTTAATGTAATTTATTAGTAACCTTCGGATATTCTAGATCCTTCTTCAAGCCAATTGATTGCATCAAATATTTTTCGAAATGTAAAAATATAAAAATATAAGTTACTTTATCTCATTCATGGAAAATTATTTTCTATGACGTACTAGGTAACTTTCACAAATGCCTACCGGGTAGACCTGATATAGACCCAGCCAGGTTTAGCAATGGTTATTGTCACCCAAACCGGCATTTGTGTATGAAACTTGAAAAATAAAAAATAATTCTTCCAATTCATATTCTCCCATTAGTCATTAATAGATAGGAGCAACCGCTATTTCAAATTTCAGTTCGCTTGGATGAGTACTGAGTTTAAGAAATTAGTGTGTCCCTTAGAATCATCCTAGATAAAAATGTGTACAATTTGAATTCCTACTTTTACGTTTGTAGCCATTATCACTGTACCGAATTTCAGCATAATAAGACAGTTGCTTAAAATCGGTGTGACCCACTCTAAATTTCACTCAGATAATGATTTTCGCATTTTTCCATAGAATGCTTCATTACGAGCAATTGATAGCCTCTGTATCAACTTTGGAAATTTTGGTCCTTGATACGCCATCCACTTATATGACCCTCACCGGTCAACCACTTGTCAGATTATGCCCGTCTTCTAACTTTACTCATAGTTTTCCCCACACTGCATGGATGCTAAATTTCAAGTCGATCGGATTAGTTTTACCGCACTTATCGCAAGACAGAGGGACAGACAGAAATGACCGGTGAACTGTAAAAAATGTTGTCATGTCATACATATTTCACAAATCGACAAACTCCGTGCACGTATAGAAATTGCAATGAGTAGAACAGCTTTAAATATCTACTACATACAATACGGATATACTTGCATAAGCATACATATGTACACAGACATACAAATACAATTCATTGCTTTAGCACATTTGTAAGTACTGTAGGTGCATAAATACATTGGGTTACAACAGTAAATACCTAAGTAAATTTAATTTCAATAAACAAGGTTCTTGAAAAGATTGATTTGATGTTTGTTTTAAATTTTATAACATTTAAGCACAAAATTTGCCCACTGCGTAATTTGTAAATTTCAATTACAAGATAAAAGCAGTATTTCAACTAATAATGCACTAATTTAATTACACAATTTTGACCATCTCAGGCAATCTGAGTTATATACATGTTTGTATGCAGTGTGGTCAGTTATTGCCAGTCATTATGAGCGACAAATGTTCTTATGAAAATGACAGAACATGGGAAATTTTCCAATTAAGATAACACAGATTAGAAATATGTACCTAATTCCAACATGGGTCGGATGATTGGATCGATCACAAGCCAAATTTATCTAAGGAGGAAAAGTGAATATAAATATTGTTTATAAAGCTTACTGTCTGGGATGCTAATTTATTTGCAATTCAACCAAAATGACAAATTTTAATAAAACGCTGCTTGTGATGGCATTTGCCTTCATGCTCTTCTGCTTTATCTCGGTTACAAGTGGAGACGCAGATATTCTGAACACAAACGATGGGGTTGATTGTAAGTAAACAAAATAATATCTACAATCTATTTCAAATTTTAATTCGATTACTAATCCACATTTTCTAGCAACGCTGTCACGACTGCAAAAAGCAATATCTTCGAGTTACGAAAAATTTCAAGGTGGGGAGTTCAACTATGATTTGTACAGAAATTTTGGAGATGGGATGCGACTGTTTTTGGATGTGAGTGACCCAATTGACATCCCCATTGTTTTTAATCGTAAGTAAATTCCTTAGAGGTGCGTGAGTTGTAAATTCACGTTAGTTAATTATGAGTGTGTGTATGTTGAAGTGTAGCACAACTTGAATTACTGTGCACCAAATTCTAGCATAAAGCTCTATGTTGTGTAAATGATTCGTAGACAACTTCAATTGGTTAATTTTAAATTAATAGTAACTGGTTTATTTCTGGTTTAATTCATTAGTAAATACAAACTTGCATGAAACTATTTCTATTATTAATGGTTAATATGGGGTATTGTGATACAACTATTTCTTATTGGCAAACTGATACAATTCCTATGGGTAATTTGATACTAATAATTTCGCAATCTCAATTTCTCATTTGAGGCAATTTGAGACTTGCGATTCACTCTTGTGCAGAACAACCCTGTGTTACAAAAATATTAAATGGGCGTTACGCGGGCTCTGGTCCGTGGCTAGCTTTACACTGCAGAGCGGACGGAAAAGCACCCGTGTATGCTAAGTAATACATTCCATTTTCCAACTTAAAATAATCTATTTGCAAGTTATGCCAGTTATGTAAGTTACATAAACCATTGTTTGTTCAACATTGGAACAAATACATGCATACATAACTTACTACCATTTTACCTGTTTAGCAGACTGCGTGCAAAACTGGACAACTCAATCTACATAAGCTGAGTTTGCAAGATGTGAAAGCGATGCAGCGTAACATACCTGCCATCACTTCCGCATATACATTGATTTGCATGTTTCTACTGAAATGCCTATGTAAATTGCGCTCAATCTGCATCTTTAAATGCAGACCGACAAACAATGCAATCTACACATTCCAGCTCAAAAATACATTCGTATTCCTACATATTAGGAATCTGAACATTCCGACCCCCTTGGACTAACTAGTTCCAAAATTAATATTACTTAATATTAACTAAATTAATCCTCCTTCTTCAATTCCGTGGGTTCAGTTTCAACAGGTAGTAGGCACAGCTTCACGATCGGTCGCTCGTACTCTCCAGTAGCTGTCCTCACCAATACCTTCCTGACCTTCTGATCTGTTCCTGGCTTGACTTCCATAACTCGTCCAATGTAATGGCGCCAAGTTATCTTCCTTGATTATTACCAGCGAACCTTCTTTAATTGATTCCACTGGTTGCATCCATTTCGGTCTTTGCTGCAATCTGACTATATATTCCGATGACCATCTTTTCCAGAACTGTTGTAGCATCTGTTGAATTAACTGCCACCTCACAAGTCTGGTCGTTGGGATTTCTGTTAAATCTGGATCAGGAATCGACGTCAATGGTTGACCAATGATAAAATGTCCAGGTGTCAGTGCTCTTAAATCCGATGGATCAGTTGACTCAGGCGTTATTGGTCTTGAATTTAGCACTGCCTCGATCTGGCTTGTAAGAGTTGTTAATTCTTCGAATGTTAATCGATTTAATCCCATTATTCTTCTAAGATGGTATTTTGTGGACTTCACCCCTGCCTCCCAGAGTCCTCCAAAGTGTGGCGCTGAAGGTGGGTTGAAATGCCAAGATATTCCTTCCTTAGACATTGTCAATGAGATATGATTATTGTGGTTCAATGTTAAACCATTAGAATTAGAAACAATTGAAACATATACCAAAGAAATTGATCATTGGAAAACCAAATTGGATGAAATCCATATGGCAATTAAGATTTTAAACCCTTCTGATATGGAGGCGCACAAAAAATGTTATTTTTCGCTTTTGGGAGCTGTTCGTGAACTTCATAACCTGTTAAGAAGCATAAAGGTTGCCATTCCTGGAAGTGCTACAAGCACGACGACAACAGGCAGTAGTACACCTCAACAAGGTATGAGATTGCCTAAACTGGAAATTCAACCTTATCATGGTGACTACTTGGAATGGAGTACTTTTAAGGATACGTTTGAAGCAGCTGTCCACAGCAACAATCAATTGTCGAAGGTACAAAAGTTTGGTTACTTGAAATCATTCCTGAAAGGTGAAGCTGCTCGGTATATAGCAGACTTGACGCTGACGGACTCTCATTATGATATTGCTTGGAATCAATTGCATGATCGTTATCAGAATAAGAGAAAAATTGTTCTTGCTACATTGGATCGATTCTTTAGTCATCCAAAAACCACTGGAACTGCAAAATCATTAAAATCTCTTATCGATGCGACAAACCGATGTATCCGATCAATGGAATTAATGGGATACAAGAAAGATAAGTCAATTGAACCAATTTATGTGCATCAGATTTTGAGTAAACTGGATCCTGGTGCAAAAGATTTATGGGAGCATACCTTGAAGGATAAGGACATGCCTAGTTTCGATGAATTATGTGAATTTTTGGAACGTCATGCTAGTGCATTAGATGAAAACCCACAACAACAAAACAAACCAAAAGTCAATGTGTATCATACACAAACACAACAACCTGTAAACAAGTGCATGCAATCATTCACATCCAGTCTTCAAATGCAGGAAGTTTCTGGATAGCAATGTCGAACAACGTTGGGTTATGGCAAAAAGTTGCAAATTGTGCTTTTGTTGTTTACGTGAGCGGCATGGACAATCAAATTGTGTAGGAAACTTTAAGTTCAAAAAATGTAACAAGGCACACAATTACTTGCTGCATATTGAAAATGCTCAACAAAACCGAAGAGAAGATCGACCGCAACAAGTTTATCATACAAATGTGCGTTGTGATGCTTCTCCTGATCGTCGAGATTCAAGACCCAATGAAGGAACAAATCATGACGAAAACAATTATATCTATCGAGGAGGAAATCCAGGTAGAAGTGAATTGAACACGGATAGGTCAGATTGACTAACAACCAATGAACAGGCTTGCTTGCCAATTATAGCAACAGCCAGAGTAAATGTGAAAAATAATTTGAATGAAAATGTGAATTGTCGTGTGTTACTGGATAATGCATCAACCAGTAATTTTATAACAGTATCTTGTGCGAAAAAACTCAAATTGAAAAAACGAAAAGCCTATGTACCTATTAATGGACAAACTGAACTTGGATGTACAAAGGGTAGTGTAGATGTCACTTTTGGCCCGTATTTTGATGAAACCAAATTGTTTAACATGGAAGCTTATATTGTTCCAAAAATTAGTAAATTACCAATGAAGGAGATTGGCAATAGCGTTGTGAGCCATCTTCCAAAAATTAACCTTGCGGATCCAGAATTTCAAACTCCAGCTGAAATCGATATCTTAGTGGGTGCAGAATTGTACTACGAGATAGTCGATGGAGAAAAGAATATGGATTCTTCAACCAGTCCGATCGCAATCAAGTCACAATTGGGATGGCTGATTGGCGGCGGCAAAACAACCTCAAAGAGGGAGTTGACAATGTGTCATACTCAAACCAATGAATTGGAAAAATTGAACCATAGTGAAAATATGTTGAAATTAGAAACATTAATGAAAAGTTTTTGGGAATTAGAAACATTGCCAGCCTTACCAATTCTTAGTAATGAAGAGAAATTGTGTGAAGTGCTGTTTAACAAAACTGTGAAAAGAGATTTTGATGGATCATTCATTGTGCAATATCCATTTAAAGAACCAAGAATTGAATTAGGAAGTTCGTTATCAATTGCGATACGACAATTTAAACAAGTTGAAAAACGTTTGCATCAGAAAGAACATTATTTAACAGAATACAAGAAATTTATGAACGAATATGAATCATTGGGGCACATGGTTGAAGTGTCACCACCAACGGCGACTAGCAAATTTAGATGCTATCTGCCACATCATTTTGTTTTGAAAGAATCGTCAACTACGACAAAGTTTCGTGTTGTCTTTAATGCATCAGCGAAGACATCAAATGGAGTCACGCTGAATGAAACCATGATGATTGGACCAAGTACACAGGATTCGTTGGCCAATTTGATCATGAGATTTCGAAAACATAAAATTGCTGTTACAGCAGACATTGAAAAAATGTATCGACAAGTGAAGATATCAAGTGAGGATCAAGAATTGCAACATATTGTGTGGAGAGAACTCCTGATAAACCATTGAAACATTATAAATTATTAACCATTACGTATGGAACCGCCGCTGGTCCATATTTGGCTACTCGTGTGCTAAGCGAGGTAGCAAAAGAACCTGATTTTCCAATTGCATCAAAAGTATTACAAGAAGATTTTTACATGGATGATTTGTTATCTGGAGCTGATACAGAAGAAAATGCTGTGAAACTTCAGTATGAAATGATTGAACTATTGAAACGTGGAGGAATGTCAATAAGAAAATTTACTTCAAATTCAGAAAAAACTCTTCAATCTATTCCAGAAGATTTGAGAGAAACGAAATCGCTGTCATTTGATAAGGACGCGACTGTAAAAACATTAGGAATTTACTGGAACCCTGCTCAAGACTGTTTTCGATTTAGAGCAGACATATTTGGCAACATGAAGTTAGGTTCACTAACAAAACGGGTGATACTTTCTGAAATTTCGAAGTTATTCGACCCTATTGGTTGGTGTGCACCTATAATAATTAATGCAAAAATTTTAATGCAATCCATTTGGAAAGAAAATTTGAACTGGGATGATTTAGTGCCAATAACAATTCAACAAAAGTGGGATAGTTTTAAAATTGAACTGAAAAATTTACAAATGTTAAAAATTCTTAGAGCCCAAGTTGGCCACTCAGGAAAAAATCAACAAACATATCTCGTAGGCTTCAGTGATGCGTCTGAACAAGCGTATTCAGTTGTAGTTTATTTAGTGTATTATGATGAACAAGGAAATGGATTATCGTATCTGGTATCCTCAAAAACTAGAGTAGCGCCTGTGAAGCAACAATCGTTACCAAGGTTAGAACTTTGTGGAGCACTACTGCTAGCAGAATTTATGCCGTTAAGTGGTGTTTATGCTTCACGTCATCGTCACGTCCTCCTTCAAATCCGATTTTTTGATTGGCTGAACCAAATTATCACTACGACAATTAAAAATTTTAACCAATCAAAAAATCGGATTTGGAGGAGGACGTAACGATGACGTGAAGCATAAATGCACCTTTAGTTGCAAAGGCTTTGAAAATGAACTTTACTGATAGCGTGGCCTACACAGATTCAACATTAACTCTTGGTTGGATTAGGTCTGAACCGTATAAGTATCACACTTTTGTAGCAAATAGAATTACCAAAATTCAAGAATTGATTCCGACAGATAAATGGGGATTCGTTCGTGGAATTGATAACCCAGCTGATTGTGCATCGCGTGGAATAAGTGTCCAAGAATTTATCAACCATCCTTTATGGTGGAACGGACCGTCTTGGTTAAATGAGAAACCACCGGTACCAAATTTAACAAGTGAAATTGTAAATAAAACTGAACCAAGTGAAGAAAGACGCGATACTTTAGTGTGTCATTTAACAAATGTTAGAATACCAAGAGACTTGATTCTCAGGTACTCAACTTTAACCAGATTGCAACGAATCACAGCAAGATTGTTAAGATTCATAACTAATGCAAGAGCAGCAGTCCAGAAGAAACGTGGATTTGCACTTGAACCAATTAGTAACCCATGGCTGTCAACAGTGGAACTTGATGTCGCTCTTAGGCGTTGGATTTCAATCGCTCAAGAGGAAGAGTTCGCTTCAGATCTGTTGCAGCTTAGAACCAAGGGAAAATTACACAATAAAAGCAGTTTATTGTCATTGAATCCATTCCTTGACAAAGACAACATTTTGCCAGTGGGGGGAAGGCTTCGTCATGCAAGCATTCCTGTGCATCAGAAACATCCAATTCTGCTGCCACCGCATCATAGGATTACGGCGATGATAATTGAAAGTGCGCATTTATTAAACTTACATGCTGGAGCACAAAGTTTGTTATCTTATCTACAACAAAAATATTGGATTGTTCGAGGAAAGGATGCGGTGAAAAGGATCGTACGAAAATGTGTCATTTGTACAAAAAATCGAGCAGAAACCATGCAACAGATGATGGCAGATCTACCTTCATTTCGAGTAACTCCATCTCATACGTTCCAGAAATGTGGAATTGATTATGCTGGACCAATTTTGATTAGACCCATTCAACCCAGAAGTAAGGTGACATTAAAGGCATATTTAGCGATATTCATTTGCTGTGCTACTCGAGCCATACATTTAGAAGTAGTTAGCTCGGCCAGCACTGAAGCATTTATTGCTGCCTTAAGAAGATTTATTGCTAGACGTGGAAAACCATCGGATATATACAGCGATAATGGAACCAATTTTGTCGGAGCTGACAAGGAGCTAAAGGAGTTACAGAAACTTACCGACAGGGTAAACCACAATAATCATATCTCATTGACAATGTCTAAGGAAGGAATATCTTGGCATTTCAACCCACCTTCAGCGCCACACTTTGGAGGACTCTGGGAGGCAGGGGTGAAGTCCACAAAATACCATCTTAGAAGAATAATGGGATTAAATCGATTAACATTCGAAGAATTAACAACTCTTACAAGCCAGATCGAGGCAGTGCTAAATTCAAGACCAATAACGCCTGAGTCAACTGATCCATCGGATTTAAGAGCACTGACACCTGGACATTTTATCATTGGTCAACCATTGACGTCGATTCCTGATCCAGATTTAACAGAAATCCCAACGACCAGACTTGTGAGGTGGCAGTTAATTCAACAGATGCTACAACAGTTCTGGAAAAGATGGTCATCGGAATATATAGTCAGATTGCAGCAAAGACCGAAATGGATGCAACCAGTGGAATCAATTAAAGAAGGTTCGCTGGTAATAATCAAGGAAGATAACTTGGCGCCATTACATTGGACGAGTTATGGAAGTCAAGCCAGGAACAGATCAGAAGGTCAGGAAGGTATTGGTGAGGACAGCTACTGGAGAGTACGAGCGACCGATCGTGAAGCTGTGCCTACTACCTGTTGAAACTGAACCCACGGAATTGAAGAAGGAGGATTAATTTAGTTAATATTAAGTAATATTAATTTTGGAACTAGTTAGTCCAAGGGGGTCGGAATGTTCAGATTCCTAATATGTAGGAATACGAATGTATTTTTGAGCTCAATCTGCATCTTTAAATGCAGACCGACAAACAATGCAATCTACACATTCCAGCTCAAAAATACATTCGTATTCCTACATATTAGGAATCTGAACACCCATAATTGGAGTTTCACCATACTTTCAAATTAGATGCTCCGTTAGCAGCTTAACAGAACTGTTTGGCCCAACAACGTTATGGTGAGCATACTGATCTGTATGTATTTATGGAAATACATTTATAAAGTTGTACTTCTATTTCATTTCCTCGTAGTCCAAATTATGATTTAAAAAGGTCATCTATCATCGTTTATCACGCTCTTTATATAAATATTAAGTATGGCAGTGTAGAGGTGAGCCGGGTTGATCATATTGACAATCCCGACCCGGCAAATTTCTTAATCCCAGCCCTCACTCGACCTAGCTAATTTCTAAACTAGCTTCGTCCGATTTAACCGGGTTGACCCGTGACCCGATACATCTACCTCTACTTGAGTGCTAAGTGGCTGTCTGTATGTGATTTAACAACACAAAACTTGTTTGTTTGTTTCAGGGCGAGTAAATTGCATGGTTTATCGGACATGGTTGACGACTTCAAGATAAAATTTATCAACAATGAAGGAGATTTTATCGCACATCTAGCCTTTCAAGTTCCCACGCTTCATGTCAATGGAGAGTACATGACAAATTTGACGCTTCTCGCCAAATACGTGGTAACGCCGGATATGTATTTTCTAGGAAATAGTTCTTACAACTCGTCGCTATCGTCTCTGGAATTCGGATTAGAAGTCGAGGGCAGAGCTTCTGCCTTCGAAAATATCTTTATTCGAAGCGTGAATCTTTCCTTCGATTATAAAAACTTTGATACTCAATTTGCAAATCTTACCTTACGATCCGCTGCCCGCCCGCTGGGGTCAACTTTTGAATGGTTTCGCCAAATTTTTACATTCTCTGAAATTCCTAAATATTTCAAATGGGATTGGACGAACTTTCACAAAACCCTCGATCTTCCAGCTGTTGCAGATGAAATTGGCCGATGTCTATTACAAAACGTTTTCAGCGTAAGAAATAAATAATTCCAGTGTTTAGGTGAAAATTTTACGTGGTTTTCTAATTTTTTGTTAGGAATGCACGCTGATGGATCTGTTAGTTTCAGGTTGGAATTAAGATATAAATGTTGTTGTGTGTTGTCATGTTTATCTTGGGACAATTGAAATTAGGTTGCTCACTAAAAGTGAAAATTTTTACAGCGGAATGCATGCAACTTAATATTGACGAGGAATGTTTAAGGACTGACATTCTCGACGTTTACTTCCCACTCCAAGCAGGATCATACAACATTAAGGAAAATGGCGAAAGGGTCAGGCGATGCTGTTGCGATTACACTTGTTGCTTCATTCCACCAACGCCAATGTTGGAGGTTTCTCCTTCAAACTTGAGACCTTTGGGTATGTGGAAAATTGATATACGTGAACATACATATGTATGCATTCAAAAATCCTGATTGATAAATTCTGTTTCAATCAATCAGTTTATTTTGTTGAAACTATGGCCGCAGCCAATATCGCTACATGTTTTTTTTATATTTTAGTACGTATTTTTTATCTTCAACTTGTGCAAATGGCTTCGGAACACTAGAGAGATGTGCGTTAATTTTGACGTTTATTAGCATTAATCCCCACGGATCCATTATTGTTAACTTTGAAATTAATTGACCCAGTCGCATACTCTTTCATACCATGGATTCTTGTCATTATACTTTACCTCTTTCGTATTATTGATTTTTAATAACATGTTTCCATTTGGTACGATATTAATTGCATAATTATACATGCTAGCAAGCAATTAAAATTTTCAACCTGTTTCCGATTTTTTGAGTTCTTCGACGAAAAGCACGAAACATCCACTTTTTAACCTAGAATTTTCCACAAAATGCCTTTTTAGAAATATTCTTTTTTAAAGAAATTTTGGTGTAAGGGTAATTTATGCAATACACACATTTTTGTACTTCGTAGTTAAGAGGTTAAGCATAACATTTCCTCTACAGCATTTAAAACTCAATCACAATCCGTTGTAACATTTTTAAATTTAGCTGCGGAACGCTATAACAATTTTCCGTTGATTTTAAACTATGAAAATCTAGTGTAGCCGATGTTGCCAATCTACCAAGTTGAAAAAATTGTAACTTCTTAAACGTGCTTGAGGTTTATTATCATGAAAAACTGTTGGTTCAATTCAAATCCGTTTCCTTCCTACTTATTCTATTTAATTATTGGACTACTCTGGTATCCATATATGAATCATTCGACATGGTAATAACGAGTTGTTGGGTAATAAATAATTTATCACCCACAAACTAAGACCAAGCTGTTCGCAAGTTACAACGAAGATATTAGTATTTATGTGACTCTACCTGATTCTTTACACTGTATGCAAACACATATGAAATTGTTTACATAGTCCATCACGTAGCAGCCAACGTTGGAGATTTGTTCCTATCTGGCGAAGGAATTTTTGGGCTGGGACGACACAATATTTCATCGCGTAAAGTACGTAACCGAGCGAGGGGACATGACGCTGATCCTGTGTTAAGTCTTCCAGACGCTGAAGTTCAAGTTATGTGGAGAGATGCTTATAGTTCCCTGATCGGCGGAATGTTCAGAACATGGTAGGATTGCTTTGAATTTATTGTATGTACTTACATACCCGTTATAAAGGCGTGCCACCCAATTTGCATATTTTGACACATTAGTAGGAGACACATTCAGAGTTAATTCAACATGGATAGCTGTTACGGGCGTGAGATTTTCATAAATGCAAATGACGTGACCGTAATTTCAGTGCATGAGTCACATTAACTCATGTTTTTGTACTTAAATAGTATTAATATCAAATTAATCTTCACATGGACAACCTTGACATTGTCTCAGTAGAGGAAAATTCTTATTTCAGGGGATCGGAAGTGAGGGGATACCTGGATGGGAGGGAAAATATAAGCACTGAATGTTTAGATGAAAATGGCACTTTCGTTGCGAACTATTCCGTCGAATTCCCAGTAATTTACTTAAGTGGGAACTATGACTCAGACTTAACGCTGTACCCATCTTTCTCGTATCGGGATCGAGGAGAGCTAAGTTTGATAGGAACTGGTCAATATAATTGGACCATGGAACCCGTATGGATTATCGTTAAAGTATTCCGAAGGGCACCAATGACTGAAAAAATGTCAGTTTCAAACGTAGATTTCAGCATAGGAATTGAACGTCCTCAAGGGAGGGAAGGTCTAAAATTTACCGCACTGCACAATTTTTTCATTTTATTTAACGGAACAGTAAAGAATGAGAAGCATCCAACCTACTGGAGAGAAGTGATCGAGTATCGCATAATTGACGATTTCTTATTCCACGATAGGAATAATGAACATAAAATTTCTTTCCCAGAAGTTGTAGGGAACCAGTTGCAGTGTGCGTTGGATTATGCAGTTGGTGTAAGTATTGTCTGTTTACTCAGAATTACAGTGCATTTAACATCCCATCAAAAAAATAAAATGACTCTGGACTTCAAATTTTAGAACTGCAACATCTTGGACTTGGTGGCCTCTGGTAAGATTAAAATATTCATTGCGCGTTTTAATAGAAGCAAGAATAAATCCTTAATTATTTACTATTTCTTTAGGGGACTGCTTACGAGTTGATCGAAACGACAATTGTTTCGGCGACAACGTGATGACAGTCCGGCAGCCATCAACGTGGAGCACGGCAATGACGAGCGAGCCGGAAACCGAATTTACCGAAGATGGGACACCGGCCATGACCACATATCTCACAACGTCAACCACTGTAGCTTCTACGACTTCGACGACAACAGAAGCGCCAGACATCCCGGACAACGTAGATCTTCTTTTGAACCAAACCCAAATTTTATTAGATCAAGCTCAATTACTCTTAAAAATAGTACAGGGACAAATTTGATACCAGATTTGAAATCTGCGATGAATATTACAATCAGACGTTTTAAAAATGAAAAGAATAAACAAGTCCATATAGTTTGTGTGCAATTCCTTCCGTGTCAATTGTCAACAATTGAAAATTATTTTCAATTACATAATAAGTAACTTGATTAGATTTTTAAGAGTTAATACCTGCCTGCAGTTCAGACTAGCCCGAATGAGGTTTAGCAATGGTTGTCACGAATCTGTTTTTTTGCATGAAATTTGATAAGTAAAAATTGACTTTTTCAAGTACAACTCATATCCATCCATTATTATGAGTAGATAGTAGCAACCCCTATTTCAAATTTCAATTCGCTTGGATCAGTTGAAGAAATCGGTACAACCTTCGAATCTTCCGAGATAACAATTTGCACAATTTCAATTCCTATTCCTACCCACAGTACCGAATTTCAGCATTTTTAGACAATTTCTTAAAATTGGTACCTAGGTATGTACCACCCTCGGGTCCACCCAGATGATAATTTTTGCAATTTCGCGAAATAATATTTCATTATATCCATTGACGGCCCTGTTCCACGCTTGAGCTTCCTACGATAATTTTTAAAATTTGGGCCTTAATACCCTATCCGACAAGAGGATATACAGACAAACAGACGGATACACAGCCTGACAGACTGGTATTTGGGAACAAGTATAGCAGTTTTACATATGCTCAAACAATTCATTGCTTAATTATTACTGTAGGTGCGTAAGTGTACATACATATGTATGTAGATATGTTTGTAATATTAAGTAATTGGTGTAAAAACTTCATACTGTATATTCGGATTTAAACAATAAAGACAAGTAAATTTAATTCTAATTATCAAAGTTCTCGAAAAGATTGATTTGATATTTACAATTTTATAACAGATAAGTACACAATTTTCCAACTGCGTAGTTTGTAAAGTTCGACAAGATCGAATCACCGTTTCAATTGATAATGCACTAATTTAATTACACGATTTTGACCAGCGTAGGTAATCTGAATTATATATGTGTATGTTTTTTTCAGTGTGGTCAGTTATTGCGAGTCATTATGAGCGACAAATGTTCTTATGAAAATGACAAAACATGGGGAATTTTTCAATTAAGATAAAGCAGATTGGAAACAAATTTGTACATTCAACTTGGGTCGGATGATTGGATCGATCACAAGCCTAATTTATCTAAGGAGGAAAAGTGAATATAAATATTGTTTATAAAGCCTCCAGTCCGGGATAATAATTTATTTCCAATTCAACAAGATGAGAAATTTTAACAAAACACTGCTTGTGATTGTATTTGCCGTGATACTTTTCTGCTTTATCTCAGTTACCAGTGGAGATGCACAAATTCTGAACACAAACGATGGGGTTGATCGTAAGTAAACTGTATCATACGATCTATTTAAAATTTGACTTTTATTGCTAATTCACATTTTCTAGCAACGCTATCACGACTGCAAAAAGCAATATCTTTGAGTTACCAAAACTTTCAAGGTGGAGAGTTCAATTATGATTTGGTGAGAAATTTTGGAGATGGGGTGCGACTCTTTTTGAATGTGGATGACCCAATTAACCTCCCCACTATTGGGGTTTCACCAAACTTTCAAATTAGATGCGCCAATCCCAGATTAACAGAGCTGTTTGGCCCAACAACTATATGGTTAGCATAATTATCGGTATTTATGATATTACATTCTTTCGTACTTCTAAATAGTTAATTTTGTCGTAATTAAAATTTTAATTTTATAAGACCATCTACGAAAGATCGTCTATCACACTCTTACATATGTACATATTAACCCTTTAAACTGTAACGAAGACAATAGTCGTTTTATAAGAAATGGTTTAATTCGGGAGTACTACAAAAGTCGTCCTGAAAAATCGCCGTCATGGCGCGGAAGGAAGACAATTGTCGTTTCTAGGAGGTCATTGATTTTCGCCATTTTCTCTCCGCGACCTAAAATTTGTTGAAATTTTGAGGCATTTCTCCTATGCCAACACAATGCTAAATTTGAAGATTTTCTTCCCAAAAATTTGGATATTTCCCTATACAACTCAATGTTAAATTTTTGATTTTTCAGTTTTTCGAGTTTTATTAAAAACTCCTGAATTTCTCCTCCCGCATCATGACCACAATATACTTATCGTGTCCCCGATTTAATGCATTTTCTTGTCGTTAATCACACAGGTTAAAGGGTTAAGCACGGCAGTGCAAGGGTGTATCGTGTCAAATATTCTGAAAACCTAGCCTGATTACTGAATCTTGCTCGTCCGACCCTACTAATTTCTGAATCGCACCCGCCTGAGCTGGCTAATTTCTTACCTGATCCGCTCGAACCTCGACTGAGTGCTTGGAGCAGGTTCGCTGTAATCTGTATGCGAGTAAATTGCACGGCTTGTCGGACATGATTCACGACTTTAACATAAAGTTTATCAACAATGAAGGGGATTTTATCGCAAATCTAGCCATCCAAGTGCCCTCGCTTTATGTCACTGGAGAGTACATGACGAACTTGACGCTTCTCGCCAAACATGGGCTAACACCGGATATGTATTTTCTAGGAAATAGTTCTTACAACTCTACGATTTCGTTTCTCGAATTTGGATTAGAAGTCGAGGGCAGAGCTTCTGCCTTCGAAAATATCTTTATTCGAAGCGTCAATCTTTCTTTCGACTATGAAGACTTTGATACCCAGTTTTCAAACCTCACCTTACATTCCATTGCTCGTTTTGCAACTTATGAATGGCGTCGCCAAATTATTAAATTCTCTGAAGTTCCTAAATATTTCAAGTGGAATTGGGTGCTCTTTAATACTACTCTCGATCTTCCAGCTAAAGCAAATGAAATTGGTCGATGTCTAGTACAAAATGTTTTCAGCGTAAGAAATAGATACATAATTCAGGGTTTATATATATGGGAATTTAACTTAACGTCGAGTTTTTCAGGAATGCACGCTGATGGACCTATTAGGTTCAGGTTGGAAGTAACATATCTTTTGGCAAGTGAAATTTAAAAACGATGTTCACTAATCCTAAGTTAAATTTTTACAGCGGAATGCATGAAACTTAATATTGACGAGGAATGTTTAAGGACTGACATTCTCGACGTTTACTTCCCACTCCAACCAGGATCCAGCATCAAGGAAAGTGACCAAAGGGTCAGGCGATCCTCTTCCGATTCCACTTTTTGCTTCATTCCACCAACCTTCGGGGTGTCTACTTCAAACTTGAGACCTTTGGGTAAGTTAAAAATTGACATACCTCATCATATGGGCACATACCTAAATCTTCGTTGGTTGATGATTTGTCGGATTCATGCACTCTTAAGAAACTGGTATTAAATCGTTATTGACCAGGGTGCATACATATCTTTACCAGAATACTGAATGACGATCAGTTTGGCGAAAGCCAGTTTTGCGAATTTTTTTTTCGCCAATATGCTAAAAACAACATGAAAGTACCAAATGGCGAAATTATTGTCACCTGTGGCGAAAGCGGAACATTTTCAAAATTACATTTGGTGAAATTTAAACTTCTCTTTAATTTGTAAATTTTTAGTAAACTTGGTCTGCTATATTTCCAGTTATCCTTATTTTGATATGTAGTAGTTCCATGCGCTTGATGCACTATCCCATTTATGTGACCCAACAGGATTTTTTAAGTGCTAATGCATGCATAATTGTTTGCGCAGTCCAGCAAGTCGCAGCCAACTTTGGCGACCTGTTCTTATCTGGGGAAGGAATTTTTGGGCTACGACAGCAGAATATTTCTTCTCGTAAAGTACGTAACCTATCGAAAGGACCGGCGGTTGATCCTGCACTGAGCTTTCCAGACTCTGAAGTTCAAGTTATGTGTACATCGATACATGGTTCCGTTTTCGGCGGGTTGTTCAGAACCTGGTAGGATTACATCGAATTTATTTATGTTAATTTAGAATATTTTGACACCTTATCGAGAGACACCAGGGTGCATAAACATTTTGTTGTCCATGGTTTCTCCAAAGAGGGTGATGCAAGGATGATTTTTTTTCAAAAAAGTGAATTACATGTAATTTTGCGTTTGCCATAAATTAAGATATAGTAATATTAATGGGGCCGCGGCGAGATGGGAATGTTGGTGGAAGGGCTTGTTGTTTGTTTGTAATAGTGCCTCTCGCCTTAGTACTTAATATTTATTTGACCTAGATTATGAATAACGAGTGTACTTAACCATTCAACTTTACCTGGATAGTGGATACCCTAAAATTATGTTTCCAGTTATTGAACAAAAGTGTTCATATGTAATTGCACCCACAAATTTACCCAATATATTGATTCATATACATATTAAGTCCTGTGAACTCATGAATCTGTATAGCATGGATTGGTTACTTTCTATACTGCCCCGTTTATTTTCGCGAGACACACTGTGCATGTTCTTCCACCTAAACTTGTTCCCCCGAACTATAAAGATATTTGATTACGTAGCTGTCATGAAATTCGTCACTTTCGTGAAAATTTTGACAAATATTTGTTTGGGTTTAATTTATTTTATAGATTGATCTATTGTCTTGAAATGTTTTTAAACCCGTTAATTTTAATGCAAATTGTGAATGGACGATCCCAGGGCAGGCTTGGTTTTGATTGGTTACAAAGGTAGGGCTTTGTACTGCAGGACTTGGTGCCTTCGCCCCCATTTTTGAGCTCAGTTTGAAGTGTATTATGCACAGTCACCCCCAAACAGGCTCAGGTTGATGTTACAGAATGAATTTAAGATAATATTGTTGCTTTTATGTCCATAAATTTTTTTTTCGAATATTCGGACACAGGCACCAAATCGTGGCATGAGGCGCGTAGTACAATCTCTTCCCATGTTGTCTCACTCTGTTTACTGTTTACTGAAGTTTATTAAAATGTCGCAAATCATCAGAAAAAATCTGCTTTTCAGATCAAGACACGTACAATAATGAATTCATCTAAACTACGCTAAAAACTACAACAAAATCATGGTTGCACTTCTTGGTCACGATTCTGACCAGTGACAAAGTCACGTGCTTTTGATTGAAACAAACCATAAGACATATTACTCTTCAAACCACTAGTAACCTATCCATGGTGTAATATAGATTCATGTGTGAACTGCGTAAAAATTACGTGATAAACTCGCGAAATCCCAATTTTTCAAATTTTCAAATGTCGAGTAAAATGACGCGACCTGTTTATGTAGTATTAAATTAATCTCCAAGCGGAAACCCTTAACATTTCCTGAATGGAGGGAAATTTTTATTTCAGGGGATCTGAAGTGAGAGGACACCAGAATGGGAGGGAAAATATAAGCACTGAATTCTTAGATGAAAACGGCACGTTCGTAGTCAACTATTCTGTCGAATTCCCAGTCATTTACTTGAGTGGGAACTATGAGTCTGACTTAACCTTGTACACCAGTGCTGACGGTCAAAGGGATCAAGGCGAGTGGAGTTATATTGGAGCGGGTCAATATAATTGGACCATGGAACCGGTCTGGATTTTCGTTAAGGTATTCGGAAGGGCACCAATGGCTGACAAAATGTCAGTTTCAAACGTAGATTTCAGCATAGGAATTGAGCGTCCTCAACGGAGGGAAGGTCTAAAATTTACCGCCTTGCAGAATTTTTTAATTTCATTTAAAGGAAATTTACCATCTGGGTCGCGGGTGTGCCAGGGCAAGTAAAGTGTGTCCCAAGGCCTTTTCGCCATGTGAGCCTCGTCCACTCACACCCCCCACCTGCGTGCCTGGTAACACCCCCTGCCACACCCGTCCCAGCAACGACAAGCTGAGCCATCAGGCGAAGATGGATTCGCCGGACCAGTGCACAGGAGGATCTACGCTTTGGAGGGACTCCCCAAGTAGGTTTTGTTTTGGTATATCGGGGTGGTGACCGTGGGGAGTGGTTGTTTGAAGAGTGGGGGAGGGGGTCGTGCATGGCGGAGGGCAGCATAGTCTGGTCTACGGGGGTCCCATGACCTAGCTGTGTTGAGATGGGGAAGGGGCAAGTGGGGGGGTCATCGGCCCCGGCTTCCGTGGGGACGTGGGCAGATCCCACGGTCCGTGGATACCCCCCGCCCAACAACCTTCAACTGTCTGCTTCCGCATGCAGACGCCACCCTCATTTGGATATCACCAGCACCCCACGGAATCCTCCTATGTATCACTGCCATACATTTTCCTACCTGGTGTCCAGTTTGGGCCGAATGGTGTATTGGGCCACCTTCCCAATACATGTAGAGGTTTTCCGAACTATCGGTTTTCCCTCTACACCCTTGCTACTGCTGCTATATACATATTATCATTAGATTGTAGCCTAAAATATTATTATGGTGTGTGATTAGCCTTATTGGGATGCCGTGTGCTACTTGTGGATCATGCCCACAACTGAGCACACACTTTACTAATTCTTAGATTGTACATTATGAGATGAAACTATGTATGTAAGTAGTTTGAATGAGTTTGTATATGTAACGAATGAATGATTATGATTGTAAGAGCTTGCGCTATATCAATCTTGAATAAACCTACCTACCTACCTACCTAAAGGAAATTTAACGAAAGATAAACATTCAACCTTTTGGCGAGAAGTTAGCAATGGTTATGAAATTGAAGATTTCGTATTCCATGATAATAATAATGATCAAAGTATTGCGTTACCAGAAGTTGTCGCGAAACAGTTTGCAGTGTGCTTTGGACTACGCAGTTGGGGTAAGTATCAATTTACTCAGGATTACAGTGCAGTTAGCGGCCCATTTTAAAACAAATAAGATGACTTTCGACTTCAAATTTTAGAACTGCAATATCTTAGACCTGGTGGTCTCTGGTAAGAATAAAATATTCATTACGCGGTTTATAGCAAGTAGCAAGCATAATAGTATAGTAGCAAGAATAATTCCCTATTTATTGATTATTTCTCTAGGGGACTGCTTACGAGTTGATCGAAACGATAATTGTTTTAGCGACAACGTAATGACCGTTCGACAGCCAACAACGTGGAGCACAGCCATGACCAGCCAGCCGGAGACCGAATTTACCGAAGATGAAACACCCTCGATAACCACACATGTTACAACATCAACCACTGTGGCGTCTACGACTTCTACAACAGAAGCGCCCGACATCCCGGACAACGTAGATCTTCTTCTGAACCAAACCCAAATTTTATTAGATCAAGCTCAATTACTCTTAAAGATAGTTCAGGGACAAATTTGATGCTGAGTTATGACGATTTTAATATTTCTTAAAATAAACGACTTAAAATATGACAAAATGACTTAAAATAAATGATGAGCTGAGAATAAACGTCGTTCATTACAATCTCCAAATGCTCAGAATGCGTAAGATATTATGTCTACCTAGAAGGACCACAAGTTCGGCACAAGCATTTCTGGTGATAAATTACAAAGTATTAGAGGTATTTGTTAGAAATTTTTATGGATGAACAAAGCGTTAATATTGTTTTGAATTCATAACTTCGTTTTCAAAATTTCCCCCACCGGCTTGTACACAAGATATAAGTGGTGGCGGTGACTGGTCGATCGCGGCGACTTCCGAGGTGCCCAGGGTACCCACCAATTTTTTTGGAATCTACTTGGACGTTAGATAAAGGATCCATTCATATTTTTGTGCAAAACTTATATTTGGCGCATTGACGTGGCGCCAAACTTAAAAATTCGCATTTTCGACTAACTTAAAACCCCCATAACTTTTGCAGTTTCCGTTAGATTTTCAAGATTTGGTACTCAAAATGATCATATAGGTCCAAGTTTTAGGGAAAAATCAAAAATCAAACCTTTTTAATTTTTGAGATATTTTTACGATTTTTTCGACGAACCCCTATATCTAAGAAAATTGCGAAAATTTGGGAAAAATTTAAAATCTCTTTTGTTTGAAAAATTTCATTGCAAAAGTTATGGCGGTTTTAGAATTAAATACAATCAAATTTGGCGAATGAGGCGCCACGTCCCGCGCCAAATATAAGTTTTGCACGTAAATATGAATGAATCTTTCATCTAGTAGATTCTAAAAAAACATGGTGGGTGCCCTGGGCACGACGGGCACCTCAGAAGCTTCCCTTGTAAGTATGACCTCAGGCCTTCCACACTTGTGTGAGATTTAGAACATACTAGTGCCAGTAATTTTGACCTCGGATTAAGGTGTGCACATGATGAGAACCGTTGTTGGGATGAACTAGTCAGGAAAGTTCGTTCGAAGCCAGTTTTGCGCAATTTTGTACCATGTGCAGGAACAGTCTTATTAAAAAGCCCAATGCTGGTTTTCTGAGGGTTCATAGTTCAGGTTTTTAACTATTGGCTCCAGGACACTCTGAAAATGGTTCTTGCCTGGAACATTTACTCTTTGCGGTAAAAACAGAGATTTGCATTTTCCAACCAATCCGCTCCTATTCACACCAGGATGATGAGTTCTTATTGACTTCCGCATACTTAAATGGATGTCAGACTTCCGTAGAGTAAAAACCCAGCCAGTTAAGTCATCTATTCTGAGGTCATCCGTTCTGATAGCCTTGAACGCTTTTCACATCTAGCCACGATCGAGTAGTTCGGTCATAAGTCATTTCTTGTGTACAAGCCCGAAATTGGGAAAACGAATTATGATATTAATATCTTGTTCTTCCATAAAAATTCGAATACTTTCTGATTCATCACCTGAAATGCTTGTGCGGGAATTTATGGTCCGAGTGTGTATCTGTAACTCATCTTTTCAAACTTTTTCTTCAGTAAATCAGCAAACTTTACCTGGTTTGCTGATGTATTGCCAGTCTTAATGTTAACCTACAGAACTGCAAAAAAATCACAGCCTCCTAAATGCATTTATTTGAAGTTTGTTATTTCATCAAAAGTTTGGTCGGAAACAGTGCAGAACATACCTTTCGAAAATATTTATTGGACCACCCACGTACATATTTACAACAATACAACGACACCCAGGGTTTTAATTTTCACTGTCAAGCTACACCGTACAAAAATGTGTAGGTAAAATATAGAATACGTCTTACCCATTCCTGAGATATTCGCAAAAAAAAACCTCCAAAAAGTTACATTTCTGTACACATATGTATCCATATGTACCAAAATTGAGGACATACATAGTACTCGCTAAAGTTCTGTTATAAGATTTCCCGGGTAAATTAAGCAGGCAAGACAATTTTTTAGAAAGTTCTACTATTTTTTATTGAAATCTCCATACAATTGTCCGTCAGAAACCATGTTTCGCAAACCTTTGTGACCCAAGATGCCGAAATGACAGATAGGCAAACATAGAGTGTTTAAATTTTTCAGCAACATTTCAGCGAACACAAAAATTCATTCAGACATTTTCTAATTGCTCAACAAAAATCTGAATTGATTGCAAGGTGGTCGACCGTACCATAAAATGGTGAACTGACACTGTCAGTGTCGACAACCGCAAAAGAAGAGAAAGGGAACGATTACAAAGGTCACCAAAATTCACCAAGGCGCGAAAAAATTGGATTCGATAAAATCCATGCCGAGCCCAAAGAAAATTTCCCTCAAATGAACGGATTAAGTAAGACTAGGTCCTGGGCCCTTAAACTAAACCTTAGACTTATGTCTTCAAGACATGAGGAGGAACACTTCCTAACTACTCGCCAGGTAAAAACAGACCCATCAGAACCCGATATAATTTTGTCAGCTCTACTTGGGGATCTCGACAGAATTATTAGAATTTTTAAACCACGCCCCTAGTTGGTGTGGCGTTCAGCGACTTAAAGTTGTTTTCTCCGATTTAAAATTTCTCCCACAGCGAAATAGCACCACTTGTATTTTTGCGTTTCCATCAAGGCTCCTGTTTTCGGTTGTGGCACTTTTGAGTGCATTTTCAGCTCAAATTTAAATTTGTCAAAAAGTTGTATGTTTTGTAATTTTAACGCTATATAGAAACGAAAGAACTAAAACATTTTTTCTCAAAAATTACTAATAATAAACTTATAGAAATACCTTTCTAAAAATTTAAAACTTTGCATGCTATTTCGGAATTCTGAAAAATACAACAAGGTATTGTGAAAAACTAAATTTTTTGAAAGTTGGTTTTTCTTAATTTACGTAATGCAATTCTAATTATTTTGTCAAAGTCCCCTCATTTAGTTAAGAGAAATGATATATTGCACAACATGACATGGTCTAAGTAAAATCGAAAAGTCGCTGAACGCTGATTTTAGGTATACCGTCGTAACCCCCTTGTCATGCTGAGAAAAATATAACACATGGCATGGTTTTATTAAAATCGACAATTTGCTTAGTGCCACACCCACTGGGGGTGTGGTGTCCAAATTTAGTAATTTTGTCGAGATCCCCTTGTCGAGCTGAGAAAAATGATATATCACATGACATGGTACGTTTTCCTTACGCTTTTTGAATAATGAATGTTTTATTGCGTCTAAAAATCGGTGATTTTTTCTTCCTTGAAAAAACGTTTTATTTTTCTTGTCCTTTTTGGCCTATTCTATTTATATTTCTCATGAAGAAAAAGTAAGAATTATAACCTCTTAACTGTAGGAATGAGAAATAACGGGATTGTGCAAAAATAAGGTTATCCCGGCTCCACTCGAAAGGAGCATCTTCCGGTATCGCGCCAGATATTCTGCCTTTGAACTACGAAGCCAACCACATTAATGCACCCGTCAGATCTCACTCTTACTTTCTTCCCCACATAACTTTTCAAACCTAAAAATTACGATATGTCGATGCAATGAAATCTTATTTTAAAAAAAAAAACAAACGGATATGAACAGGTTTCAAATTTGCCATTTGAATCTATATATGTAGAAGAAAGGAAGGGTGAGACAAAAATTTAAATTTTATAACACGTATGCAGTGGACCCTTACTTGCACTTCTCTTCGCTTCACCTAAGCAATACCTCTTCAAGTTTCATCTTGTATTAGATGTGTAGATGTATTGAGTGTGGGTATTGGGGGAGGTACTGGGTACTGGGTGTGTGTGGATTATTAAATAATCCAAAATGAAATGTTTGGAATCTCGATACCGTTTATGATAAAGTGTAATTGTTGGATTGTGACATCGAAAATTGCACTTTGTGCCCAAATAAATAGTTCGTGTGAATTGGATTAATGTGAGATAAGCTTCAAGCTCGAACTAATCTATTGCCGTGTCATTGTGAGCAAATTTATGAATTTTACTGGAATCCCTTCCAAATCGGCGTTGACTAATTGGCGGATGGACATGTTTGATTCATACATAAGCCATGACCATAATCCAGTCCTAAAATTCTTTTACATTGTGCCTAGAAATGATATAATCATAATCGGAGAGTTCCTACTTATATCATATATTAATAAAACTATGACAATACAGTTATGAATTTTCATATATGTAAACAATGTGAAGTTGTGCTTGCGTATACAAATTAAAATCACACTTAAAATTAATTTTGAATAAGATTGGAGAGATTTATGTGCTATGCACATTATGTAAGTCGTATTATCTAAACTATATAAAGCAGGCGAGTGTATCGCTGCTGGCTGGCTGGCTGGCTGGGTCGGTGGCTTCGTTGAGAAGTTAGCCTCTCCTTTTCTCTCTCCACTCTGCAGAGAGAACAGGAGAGGCTAACTTCGCTTATATTGGGGTAACGGGCTTATCGACGGGCCTATTTTGCACGTCGATTGACGGGCTTCTACACTAGTGAGACAATAATACAATAGCATATTTGTTTTATATATAATTTGATATGGCAAGGCAATGAACAATTTTGTTTCTTCCAACTCACTAATCATAATTTTGGTATTCAATTTTTAACTTCCATCAAGATAGGCTACTTGAAAGCTTTCTCAAAAATCTGTCAAATAGATACAAAGGTACAACAAAATGTACATTTTAATACTGTTGTTAGTAAAATTTACTAGTGCTCAACGTGAGACAGTGGTGGTGCCTGGAGTGGGCACTCTCCGAGGGGCAATAGCTGACGATATCGTTAGTTTTAAAAGCATCAGATATGCGTATAAACCACTCAGATTCCGCCCGGTCGAAGCGCATCACTTGTATCCTGAGGATGTCGACGCTGATAATGAGACGGCTTGTTACCAAGCCTGGTCAAGCCTAGTTCCTGTATCGGAGGAGGATTGTCTGGTGTTGTCCATCTATAAACGGAAGGTAAATTTATAAAAGTGAATTGATAAAAATGATTCCAATTGGAGTACCTTTTTTGTTTCTTAACCGATTTTCATACTGTGAGTGAAGGACTATGTAAAACTCACCCTCAGATATTATATCAGCAAATATTTTCAATAACATATGATTACTGTATCATAAGTTTAATCCCATCAGTAAGTGTTGTTATAAATAATAGGCTGAGGTACATCGCACAAATTTTATAATCGGCTGAGACTTGCTTGATAAAATTGTTGAAAAACAAAAGTAAATTATCCACATTACAAAAATGTGTATTTAGATTTTCCACTTTCACAGAGACCATATTTTCTGGTTAGGTGAGTGAAAGATGTGACGAGTATATATGTATGATTACGATTGAGTTTGAAGCGAAAGTGAATGACCGTTTTCAGCAAATTAAAGATATAAACTGTAGCGACCGAGCCTATGAACAATTTGCATATGTATGTATGTACATAGATATAGATGCTTAACTTGTCTAACACCTATAAACTAAGGTCCTTGTCAGATCTATATATACATACATATTAATTCTATTGTCAATTTTTGTTTGATCAAAGCTGTCTTCATATTTACAGATATAAATAGTATTATAAGATGTGTATTATATTTTTGCTGCAGGGAAACTCCAATGGACTTCGTCCCGTTCTCGTCAACATTCACGGCGAGTACCTATTCATTATCAAACTTTGAGGATAAATTACCGCCCTCAACAGAATTAATTTTGTATTATCCTCAAAAGTCCTGCAATATTTATTCAAATAATTTTTTATAAATTCATATTTTGGGCTCGATTTCTTAGTCTTCTTATCGGATTTCAAAAGTTTCTAGCTTGAAGATTGAACATAATCTGATAAGTTAACGCGGCTAATCCTAAGTAGTTTTCTATAAATATGTATATCTCGATCTTGAGGTTAGAAAAGTTATTAAAAATTAGAGAGTTTTTAAGAAATTACAAAAATTTTAATTAAAAGGGGAATTTTAAAAATGTGCGCAAAATTGTGCAAAAGTTAAAAATCATGATTTTTAATACATACATATTTTGTTGAAAGGGTAGAAATATTGGCGTAAATATTAATATTTTCCAAAAGCTAAAAATATTGAACAATATTGAAAAAATTTTCTCGACGGTGTGACGTACACATGACCATAAATGCCCTTCAAAAGCGGATGCAAATTGAAAGTGTCATTGATAAATAATTGTCCGGCCTTTGTTCATTATTGCATAATGGATTTTTGAACAGTAATGGGTTATAAAAATTTGAACCAATAAAATAAATTGGTTGCGTCATATGTGAGGAGTCAAATCAATAATGTTTTAACAGTACATATGTAGTTGCCTAGGAATTTATCATGTGATTTTCTCTAGGAAAACTATGAACGATGATCTCAGCTTGAAATTACATCATAATGATAAAAATTCATTTCAGATAAATTCCAATTTTAAAATTTCAAATACTATTTAAACTAAATGCAATGGAATTTATATACTCCATTGTATTTAATTTAGTATTTGAAATCAGATCATGATTTTATTTAGGTAACTATTTTCCGTAATTAATAAAAACCAGGCCAAATAACTTAGGGAAGGTTTCGGGCAAATGATTTACAAAAATAAAAATTTTCCAAAGACGACTAAATTTACACGATGTAGACTCTGACTGGTCATTTTAGAAATTTGTCCCACGGAAAAGTAAAATACACTCCCAGAACAATTTATTTATTACACTCACTATTAATTGGTATCTTTATAGTCCCAAAATTATTAACCATCAAAAACCGTATCGATTTCTAGGCACATTAGTTTTAAACATATGTATAATGGTTTCGAAATATCTGGCAAATTACCGGGAGTAAAAGTTCATAAATATCAATTTTTAAATTTTCTCAATGCTGTTGTTTTAAGGTTTTACATATGTAAGTCGCACACTCACAGAAGTATGCTGTTTTTTTAATGAATAGTTTTATGATGAAATGCTGTCATCCTAAAAAATACATTGATTTATCATCCGAATAATGATAAATTAATTAAAATTTTGCCCACGACCATCAACGTAGCGTTGGACACGTCTTTATTTCGAAAAATGATGAAACTTTATGGAGACCGTAAAATCAACATAACATTATTGTTTTTTGCGAAATTTGTGAAACCATATTTTTTGAATCATCTCCCGACACTTTTTTTTGAGCTTCGCAAATTTGCTAAATATATGAAACGTAATGCAAAATGAGATGTCGTGTCGTGACTACGTCAAATTATTCGTTACTAACAAATCCGCTGACGAATTTACCCATATAACTACATATGACGTACCTACATATAAGTTACTCTGATTAATAAAACAGGGGGCTCTTTCATACGGTGGTCCGGTACTATGTTTACCGGGGACAGACTACAGAGGGGTGGGACAGAAGAAGGAGCCACTTTGCCTAAATTTATTCCGGCCTTATTATTCGTTTGTGAAGTTTGGTAATTGGTTCAGTGTGAAGCCCTTTAGTTTATCTAACGAGCCTCAGTCGCTTTTTCCAACCAGTCATGACCTTTGACACAATTTTCAGAGTGATTCTGCACCACTCGTCCTGAACACTTTTCCAAAGTGCATCAAAACGCACGCGTTTTCCTTTCTAGAAGGCTGTGTTTTAAGTACTCGAATCCAAAAAAAAACATCGGATTGATATCAGAGGAACTAACGAGAGTTTCTATAGTAGGAATAATTGTTATACCCAAACTTTTTTTAAAATCCTTCGTGTAGGCTGATATTTTGTGAGAAATAAGTTGGGATGAGAGCATGATCTCGGGATTTCCTACGAGTCACTTGCTGTAGGTCATTGTGAATGACTCTAGAAATGTTCTCCTACTAACGTTTAACATTTTCGCCATGCAACTTTTAGTTGGTGGATTTACCGTTTTGGCGAAAAATTGATTTTCCGGATAAACTTTTTGGTTCAAGCAGATCTTGGGTATCCTTTCCGTGGGGGTGGAGCTCTAACCGCTTTTTCCCTCCGCTTGATTCCAACGTTTTTAAGTACATTAGAAACGTACTTTCGATCGACGATAAATTCATTTGCAGCAAATTGACATATGACATATGACATATGACATATGCAAATTTTGAAAATGCCGCGACTGTGCATCACACGCCACCCCTAAAATTCAAGTGGCTCCTTCTTCTGTCCCACCCCTGTACTGGCAGAAAAGGATATAATCCTTGTTTCTATAAATTATAGACTTGGGATTTTCGGTAATTACTTAAATGCATGTCTTAACTAGTGATATAAGTAAATATATTTATGTTCACAAAATTACGCACCATTTTAAATCACCTGGTAAATTTAGGATTCTTCACTTTCGAAACTGATCAATCACCCGGAAATCTTGGTCTCCTAGACCAGTTCTGGGCTTTAAAGTGGATCAAGGAGTTCATAATCCACTTTAATGGAAATCCCGATCTTATAACAATTTATGGACAAAGTGCAGGCGCGGCTAGTGTAGGGTATCTGATGGATAGTAAACTAACCCGTGGAAACGACACTTACAAACTGTTTCACCGAGCCATAGCTTCCAGTGGTACGATAAGTATTTCTAATATGTTATTGTCATCAGCTAATCAATGTTATTGTGGATTTTGTAATAATGATCCTTCAACAACGCAGGAGATAATCTTGCAGGATGGACGATAAACCTGAGTGCGAAGGATCAAAGTCAACAATTCGTGGCAGCGTGTAATTGCTCAGATGGGACTGTCGACGAACAACTTATTTGTCTTCAAAAAATAAATTCTTCATCGATTTTTGACATTGCAAATAATATCAGTTTTTACGTAAGTTACAAAGCATTGTATATGTGTTAAGCGATTGGGATTATTCATAAATTATTATCCCAAAAAGAGTAGCATAAAATTTGGCTTACAATGGAGGCCTCGACGGGCGCGATCAAACCAGTGAAAATCCTTCACAAATTGATAAATGTATATTTAGAAAATCACAGTATCTGTAAATGCTCAAATTTGGAGGAGGTATTTGCAACCGAACAGGAGAAAGTAAATTTGAAAAGTTTACAATTTGTCAACTGCAGGGCGCGTGTTTTCCTCTTTGGATTCAAATATGTCCGTTAAACTTCAGCATTGGTGGATATTGTCATTCGAAAATTGCATACAAATTAAATTTGTGATAGATTGATACTAGTCTAGCCGAAATTGAGACCATACATACGCTGGGAGACCTGGGTTGTGAAGTACAAAATTTGTGACTTTAATAAGTGAATTTGTGACCCACAAATGACTTTAGGCTTTAGAGAAAATAATGGAGTAATATTGGTTCTCAAATAATGAAAAATATTTTCTTCAGGGGGTGCCGTCCATTCAAGCAGACACCATAAGCCCTGAATTCGTCATGGTACCCATGCACCCACAGGAAGTGGATCCCGCAACCAGGAGTCGGGTGCCACTACTGCTGGGCACTAATAAAGATGACGGCAGCGTGATCTTTTCACGCTACTTCAATCGGTTTATTAAACCTAAGGGTCAATCCACGTCAATGTCAATCATGTGTTGCGGGCCACGTCTCAGATTTTAAAGCTAATTTTATCATAAATACGTACTGCTTAAATAAAGTTACTAGTGACAAAATAAAAATTCTATGTTAGAAATTGGCCGAGAATTTAAATTTGTAAAAAATTTAAGAAAAATTTTCCATTTGATGCACTGAGTGTCACGTAATTTTGAGAAGGTTTACCTAAACCTAAAAGTTGTTGTAGGCACTATAAACTAAATTTGAAAATTAAAAAAAATTGAAAAATTTGAATTCTAGCCATCTTGTAATGGTAACTTCAAAACGCTATAACTTTTTGCACCCTGTCCTGTGCAACCCAAATTTCATAAGTTATAACGTAATTTTAAATTTCTAATCCACCATAAAAAAATTAGCTCGCACACGACAGGGTGCAAAAAATTATATCGATTTTTCCGACACACATTAACACATGCAAGCTTATGTATGGGAATATTCCCAAAAATTATCAGAAAACAAGAGGCGTAAACAAAACTTCCAGTGACAAAATTAAAATGCCGTACCAGTCAAGATTATTTTTAACGCTGAATTGAAAAAAATGTAACTAAAAAAATGTAGGCCTGACCGCGTCGACATTTAAAAAGTTAGTACGTGCTACGCCCACTGCTGGTGAGCACCACCATCACTAGTGTTGCTCGGAGTGGAGAGACAACATCTCCGCTCTCATGACTCTTGCCCGATCGTGGGTATTGACGTGGACCGACCCCTAATCGTTCGCACGAAGACCCCAACTTCCTCCAAAACCATTTTCTCCAGGATATGTTTAATTCTAGCAATTTCGGTAATGCTAATTTAAATATTAACACAAATTATCTTTAAAAAATTGTATAATTTGTAATTTTGCATTGAAAAACCGATTGGGATGCATGAGATCATAATTTCGTCCTTCCTGAAGGAGACGAGGATGGCCACCAAATTGACCGCAATAGCCCCTTACGTCTCAAACGTAAGGAAGTTTGACTATATATTTACTTTATACATATGTAACTATGTGTTTTGTCGTAATAATATTACCAAGAAATCGACTGAAGCACTTCACGTGCATATTTGTAACTCGTAAAAACATGTATATATTTGGAATTGTAACAGTTTAAAAGCTTCAGAGCACCATATTTGTTTAGCGGGTCAACGGTCAAGGGCATCTGTTTTTGTTTAAGAAAAACTATGAAATAGCTTTATGAAGTTTGCATAGTTTACAAATACATACATCAAATAAGATTTGACTTATCCAAGTTTCCTTTACAGATATTTTCCACCTATTACTTCAAAGCTCCTGCTTTCCATAAAGCGACGTTGCACTCGGACATAATGGACACATACCTTTATCACTTCGAATTTTATAATGAAAATCGGTACGCCTCAACTTATTCGAGCAGTTCGTAATCGATCTGAAAATTTTGAAATGTGTGCAAATTAAATTAAATTACAGAAACCGGTCTTACTACGTGGACATGGGTGGTGCGGAAGAAATTCCGCCAGGCAAGTTTTTATGGTTTAACTCATTTTTAAAACTTCAAGGCGAATTTGTACTTATTTTTTCCGTGTTAAAGGTGTCGCTCACGGAGACGAGCTGCACTACCTGTTTAAATTTGATGACGAGCCATACACCGACACGGAACAGGCCATAAGTTCCAAGATGATCGAGATCTTTTATTCGTTTATGCTTTACGGGTGAGGAATTCAAAATTTCATAATCAACATTTCCAGACTTTAGCGTCGTTTGCCTAGTATTCTGAGTGATTATTTACTTATGTTTAACTTTATTTCTTACAGTAAACCTACAGGTGAGACATCGAAGGCCGGGTGGCCTGTGGTCACAAAGGATTCTTTTCCTTACATGCGGATCAACGTTGAAAACAAATTGGGGACGCACTACGGCGATACTTTTCATGCCACCACCTACTCGGGCGGCGAGTCATTGGAAAAATCGGAAAGTTCCAAAATAATAAATCCAAAATAATAAATAGATATGCAGTTCAGAATTTTTGTAAACTCTAGAAGCTTGCTACATCAAAATTGTTTTTGTTGTAATGTATTAGGCGCATTACTAAAAAAAATTTGAAAAATTTTATATACAGTTGAGTGACACTGAAGCAATACATACAGCATTCTTTTTCGTTTACTATGATAATTTACAAAAGGTAATAACGTTCTAAAATCTTCTTATTTTCTGAATTTTTATCAAAATTTTCGATGAGAATTGATATTTGTTGGATTACTTGCCTTGATTCAAAGAAATTAAAGAACGTCCGGGAATGAATGGGAACGCGCGCTCTAGCGAGTATATTGACAAATCAATAAACCCGCGAACTATAATAATTTAAATTTCTGAAAGCCCACTTCATTAGGGTCAATTTGGTATATCACTCTTAAATTTCAAAAATGGATAAGGGTAGAAGAAGCTTGTTTGAAAGGGAGCTGTTAGCAAAACGAGTGATGGAGTTCTACAACACGACAGCCAACCGAGACTCCAAGGTGACCTGGAACTTTTTTAAGCAGGAAGGAATTCCAAGTTCAAATGTGTATTCCTACATAAAAAAGTTCAAGGATTCCGAAAATGTGCAATTCAAGAAGCCAGCTGGTCGTCCGGCGAAGCTAGCGACCACTCGAGTGAAAAATAGAATTGAAAAAATTTTCAAAACCAAGCCATCAACGTCAGTAGCTGTAGCTGCCAGGAAAGTCAAAATTTCCAAAAGCTACCTGGGGGAAATTAAGGTCCATAAATTAGGAATCAAAGCAAGGACCAAAAAACCTGCACCAAATTACAAGCCCGTACAAGAAAGTCGGATCAAGGATTGCTGTCAAAAATTGTTGAAGAAAATGCGTGGAAAAGTAGTGATCCTGGATGACGAAACGTATGTTCCGGTTGACCCTTCAAATCTTCCAGGGCGTCATTTTTTTCATAGCTCGGATCCCTCTGAAGTGGCTTATGAAGAAAAAGTACGAAAAAAAGACAAATTTCCAAAGAAATATTGCATTTGGCAATGCATCTCCAGTCACGGACATGTATCAGACCCGGTAGTTCTCGAAGGGAATATCAATCAAGATATTTATCTGAAAAATTGCGTCAAGGCTGGATTGGAAGCATTTATTAATAGGTTTCACAAAAATGATAAAGTTTTGTTTTGGCCTGACCTCGCCACTTGTCACTATGCAAAGAAAGTGACCGAGTACCTCAGAAAGAAAAATATTGATTTCGTACCAAAAGATATCAACCCACCTAATGTACCCCAACTCCGCCCAATCGAAAAATTCTGGGCACGTTCTAAGTCAGTATACTCCCGGCTTCAAGATGTGTCTGACACCTTTCGAAAATTCAAAGGACGATGGAAGAAAATCACCTCGGAAGTGGCAAAAACTTCGGGAAAAAATTTAATGAAAAATCTTCGCAAGAAAATCGAACTAGTCGCCAACGGGGGTGTGGCGGCCTTAGCTATTAATTAAATTATGTAGGTACGTATTTGGTATTATACATATGCAAAAAGTTTAAAATTCCGATAACTCATTGTGATTTTATGACCACATTTTCAGACCATTCCCATTCATTCCCGGACGTTCTTTATGTTGGTGTAAAATTCGGTCTAGAAATATTTAGCTTCTGGTCGTGTTTTTTGTTGTTTCCAAATTATTTATGCAGCAAGCAGACCCAGAGCAAAAATTCTGTACTTTTATTATTTCTTGAAATTGTACCATGCTTCGCTAACATTTTCTGTTCATATTGCGTGCTTCTAACTACGTATTATTACTCGTTATCGACTTAAAGGAAATAATTATTTTCTGTAATTTTTATGGACCTATGCATGAAATTTATTTGACGAAAAACGATCACAGAGCTTAAATTAATATTTAATTAGACGGCAATTAGATATTCAAATATACTTTGAAATTTTACAAAAATTGTTGTAATTATATCAATTCAAGTTGCTTTACTAAAATTATTAAGATTTGATTTTGTGTGTCTGATTTACTTAATTTTGTACATCATATACTAAAATTACTAAATTCTAAATAAATGAAATCATTCTTTCTCTTCCATTTTAAAATTACCTATGTAGGTATATGCACATTTTATAGTCATGGCTTCAACGATAATATTTCAAGATAAACATGCCTAAAAGGTTCCAACGTATCCTTCCTAACGTAGTAAATATATTTGGGTATGTATAATAAGTACATTGTATTTACCTTGATGTCTTGTAGCTTAACGTATTTACATACAATAAAGCCTACTAAATTAAAGTAATCAGGTACTACCTGATATAGAGTACCTTAGATATATAGCCTTTTATGCACCTTTTCGGTATATGTTAAAATAGTAGAAACTATAAAGTATAAATTTATACTTTATAGTTTCTCGCTTAAGCGATGGAAATAATTTTACAAGGAAACTGGATTTTGCACATCAATAAATGTACATCAATTTATTAATGTAGTCGTGTCGTAACATAATAAAACATTACACTTTCCCTAATGACCTAAGTATGCTAGTTAACGGACGTACAGTGGAGAGCAAATTATTCGGTAGAATTCGGTAGAGCAAATTGTACGGTAGAAAAACTGTTCTATCTCGCACATTAACGAAAATAAGGGCCTGCAAATTTGCAAGGTAGTACCCCAGAAAGATTGTCGTTGGATGCCATTCCTGTGTTTGAAAAATCTCAAAACGGTCAAAGGTCACAATTTTTGACCCAAAAGCTCATTTCTCAACTACTACAGTTATTTTTTTCCTTAGATGCTTTATATTTAAATCGATAGCTCAACTCAATGTGAACATTTTGATATCGTACTCACAATGCAAGTCTTTTACGTGTACAACTCAGATCTGGTCGAGACAAATTTTATTTTGTTCACCACAAAAAATAAGCATACCCGTATTTTTTCATTTTTCATAATGCGCTAATTTGAGCGCGGGGCACGAATTTTAAAACATTTTTCAGCCAAAACCTCGGTTTTTTAAAATTCTGTAACTTTTCCAATTTTAGCGCGAATCCAAAAATTCGAAAACATGTGTCTTCAGAATGACTTACTTGACTTATGAAAAATCTACATGCATAATTTCTTGAAAATTTAAAAATTTGAAAGAGTTTATAATTTTAATGAGTTTCAAAAACTGGCAAAAAATTTTGAAAATCAAATTTCGAGACAATGGGATTTTTCATAAGTCAGGTAAGTCATTCTGAAGAGACATGTTTTCGAATTTTTGGATTCATGCTAAAATTCGAAAAGTTACAGAATTTTTAAAAACCGAGGTTTTGGCTGAAAAATGTTTTAAAATTCGCGCCCCGCGCTCAAATTAGCGCATTATAAAAAATGAAAAAATACGGGTATGCTTATTTTTTGTGATGAACAAAATAAAATTGGTCTCGACCAGATCTGAGTTGTACACGTAAAAGACTTGCATTGTCAGTTCTCTACGATTTTTTGAAGAAAGTTATGAATTTTTGGACAAAGCGAATTTTTCGGATTTTACCAAATTCTCCCATAAGCGCAATGTTAAACTTTTCAAAATTCGTTTTTTTCAAAAATTCATAACTTTCTTAAAAAAATCGTAGAGAACTGGATAAGATATCAAAATGTGCACATTGAGTTGAGCTAACGATTAAAAAATAAGGCATCCACTGCATAGTGCAAAAAATACTGTTCAGGGTTAGTTAGGCAGAAGTTGGGGGGACATAATGGGAAATTATCATTGTGAGATAGGAGGAGGAGGGACTTATTAGTATGGGAAAGATAGGATTCTTATGAGCTTCTGCTACTGCTGCTTAGTGCTTCATTTTTGATTTGGCTAAAAATCGATGCTATCCTTTTATTATTTCTGCATCAGTTGCATAGAAAATCCCTTTTATGTACAAATATATAGTTGGCATTAACTTTTAGATCCAGAAAAACGTCAGACAAGTTAAATATTTTATGAGGTATGTACATAATAAATAAATAAGTGTAAAATGCATTTTATATTACCTACATAAATGTGTCTCAAACGTTTACTGGCAGCCCGAAATGTTTTATTACGGGCATATAAAGCTTCGGGCATATAAAACTCTTCATTCGTTTTCAACTCGTAATCACTCTCTCAAGTTTAATTCCAGAGATGTTTCGCATTTTCGCAGTATCCGTTGTTGCGATATTGTTTGCATATTGTTATCTCGCTGAAGGCAACAACAGCGCACAAGATGAACCTCCAGGTAAAAAAGCTAATATTTTGTATTTTTTGAGTTTTTAAATACATGAAAACTTGATAACATCTCAGGTCCCAGAGCTTTGCCAGTATTGGGAAATTTGCTCGATTTGGCTCGAGCTTCGGACGACATGACGAAAATGTTTGGAGTTTTGTCGGAAAAATGGGGGGAAATTTATACAGTAAAGATCGGATCTAAAAAGACAGGTTCTTACAGAAATTTCCGACAAAATTGCAGAAAAAAAATAATTTTCACCTTCCACATCATTTCAGTTGTATTAACGTCGAAGGAGTCCATGCAAAAGGTGCTCACGGACGAGGGCAGTTATGGCCGAGATTTGTCCGGCATGATGGCGGATCGCTGTTGGAATAAAAATCTGGGCATTGCTTTTGCGGAGGGGGAAATTTGGGAAAAATCGAGAATCTGGACGTTTAAAACTTTAAAACATTTTGGGTTAGGAAAATCCACAGAAGTCGAAAATTACGTCAAAGTGAGTTGACCAACATTATGCACATACAAAACAATTGTTCAAACATATTTCGGTTTTTAAATTTCCGTACTAAAATTTAGAGATCTTCGGAACCCTTATTTACCGAGATTGACAAGCAAATAGGGAGTCGTGGTGCGGTTGATGTCGAATTACTTTTTAGCCCTGCGATTCTCTCCATCATTTGGCAATTAGTTGTCGGCCGGATTTCCAGAGCGGATGAACCTGCGATTAACCTTTTGTCCTACCATTTAAATAAATTCGCTCTCAGCAGCGCCGTTGGTGCCGGACTGGTCAACGCGTTCCCCGTCTTAAGATACATTTTCCCTCGTTGGACAGGGTATAAGGAACAGATGGCGTTTTTCAATGCGTCCCATGAGATCGCCAAGGTAAGGAATTTGTCACAAAGTTCAGTTTGTACGAACACCCTTATAAATCACGTATTAATTTCAACTGCAAATCATATGCACCCACAAATTTCAGAATCTATATGCTGAATCCGAACTCAAACTAAAATCTAGCCCTGACGCCGCACCAGCTACAAACATGCTGGACGCCTTTGTCCAAAACTGTGTGACTGAGCCAAGCAATATATTTAATTGTAAGGAAATGGATAAGAACAATACATATTATACCATCTATGTATGAAAAACAGGGTCAAAATCCAACCTCGTTTCTCTGCAGGTCTCAACTTCCAGTTGATCTTTATGGACCTGTTTGGAGCCGGGACGGAAACAACGAGCACTTTCATGGAAGCTTGCGTCCTCTACCTCATATCGTATCCGCACGTCCAAGAAAAAGTATACCAGGAAATATTACGCATCGCACCGGACGGGAGACCTCTTAACTTTTCGGATCGACAAAAGTATTTTATTTTATAACAGGCAACTTTAATTTTTTATAAAGTTTCTGGTGATACTGTGGTTAATAACAAGGTTCTTATATATATGCATGTGACCCTATTGCACATTAACTAATGGAATATCTATGTATCAACCTAAAATCTTTGACATTCAGTTTGCACAAGTCTGTGTTGAGGGTATTCATATTTATTATATCTTCGGATCTTCCTTTGTTTAATATTCCTCGTATCATAAAATAATTTACGACGGTTAGGGGATCTTGTAAGATTTTGTCATCGAAAATCATATTACTAGGCTTACGATTTTTACAAAGCTTCACCCATTTTTTCCCTCGTAAACTATTTTACGGATCTAAGGATACGAAGAAATAACGAATACCCTCATTCTATTCTGATCTTACCTTATACATTCTCTCTACAAATAGTATGCCCTACACTCAAGCCTTCTTCCTCGAGGCGCACAGAAATTCGAGAACTCAACAAACCTCGGTACCACGCCGGGCACTTTGGGACATAAAATACAAGAATTATACAATTAAAAAGGTAATATAAAATAAAATACTTATCTAAATATTTACATAATTTGTGGTCGTGACAGGACACAGTTATCTTAATGGATACTCGCCTGCACTACGAGGACAAGAAAATTTGGGGAGATCCCGAAGTATTCAGGCCGGAACGATTCATCAACCAAGCTGGCGAAATTGTTAATACGAAAAATATAATTTCCTTCTCATTTGGTAATTATAGTGAAGGACAGATGAAACTTGTATAATTGTGTTCACTTTACAAAATAATACTTTTGAGACGAATGAGATTATTATGGTGACATTTTTAAAAGATTTCTAAAAGTGCACAGTTTACAAGTTTATACTTATGTCAAGAATTTACACAAGACTTCACATTTTAATTTATATGTACGTATTTACACTAGGAAGACGGGCATGTCCGGGAGAAATTCACTCGATTTTTGTATCCTTCAGCCTCGTTACCTTGATGTTGCAGCGGTATAAGATCTCGAGTTTGGAAGGTGAACCAAAGCCAAGATTAGACTTAAGGCTCAGCTTCTCCATGAAGCCGTACCCTTTCAAGGCTGTCTTCACTAACAAGGGAAACCTCCGAGGTGCCGGTTGAATCCAGCGTTCCCACCTATACCAAAATGACCACAATATGCGATTTATGGCGTAAAGTGGTGAAATTTACGTGCAAAAATCACTTTTCGTCAATCTATGACGATATTCATGACGAGCGTGTGACCACGGTTGAGAGTAGGTTCAAGCGGCTAACCGTGCGATTCGGAGATGGCAACGAACTCTCGCTTTATCCAAATTCTAAATTAATATAATTTTAATTCTCACCTTATTCGGAATTCTGTGCAGGATCATGTAGATGTGAATTAGTGTCGTTATTTAGTGGGTGGTAGTGGTATTCAACAAAAAAGTGGTCGAAACAGAGATGTAGGTTACAGTGTGCGCATTTGACGAAGCTTTCCATGGGGCATGAATCCATTTCGCACTTATCATATGTTGATGAGAATAACAATTCTTGAACGTTTTTGAAGTCTTGCTTTTCTGTTGTGTATGTACAAGCGTACCAAGCATATTTGCACATTGGCACAAATATTTCGGATTGCATTTGATTACAAATAAGTGAGTGCATTTTTAGCACATTCTCCCGATTATGCATGTCCAACGCCAATTCGTCAAGCATCACTCTTTCAAAAATAAGTCGTCGGAAGATCTTATACTGACGAAATATGTACTTATCAAGTGGTTGGATAAGTGACGTTGCTTTTGCCGGAATTTTCTCTCTTCTGCAATTTTCGCCAAGGGACGAATACGTTTCTTCGTCGACCTGCCCAGCCCACGAGTCGTATATTAGCATTATTTGCTGATCGCTTATCAAAGGCTGAACACAATCATCGAGCCATCGCTTCATAATCTGTTTATCCATTTTTCCCGATTTTGACACTGTTAAATATATGTTCTCTGGAATCCGTAAAGTTTCAGCGACACGAGGACCCAATACTCCTTTTGGTTCCTGAAGACATACTAGTAGTTTCCCATAAAATTTTCCACTCATTGATAACAAAGGCATAATTGTGTATGAATGAGATTTGGCGTTTTGAGACACAACTCTTCCGAGCGTATCCTTTTCACCCTTGTGAGAAAGGGTCCGTCTTGGCGTGTATTCGTACGTGAAGCCTGATTGATCAAAGTTGTAAATATTTTTTTCCTCAATTCCTACCCGATTTTCATTTAGCGTCTGCACAAATTCGCATGCTTCGTTTTCTACTCTATCGAGATTTTGATGCTCACCCATCGTTAAATACTTCGTTATTTTTCGCCCAACAATTCTGTTTCTCACTTTGAAGTCCATTATCCATTTTGGACTCGCCTTAAATTTTAAATCAATTTCCCTTGATTTTGACATCGCCCATCTTCTTAAATCCATCTCATTAACATGAATCATTGATGATCTCGCATTCTCAAATCGCTCAAGCACAAATTTTTCCACCTGTTTGAATTTCTGAAATGTTGTGCTCTTCTTCTCTACATATGCTCGCAATCTGGTAATTGTTTTGCTGTGTTTAATTTTCTTAAATCGTCGTTTCGTTTGGTTGAATTTATTTTTTTAACATTATCGTAAAAATGAAGAATGTTCACCATTTCCTGATACGTAAAAACGACACCGTCAACCAGTTCCTCCTCCCATTCTTGCGACACTTGTTGAGAAAGGCTATCAGAGTTCTGTTCAACATCAAAACTATCACTATTTAAAGTATCACTATCACACACTAATTCACTATAAGTATCTGTATATGTATCTATGTCCCCGTCCATATCAAATTCTAATGTGCTTATAGTTTCTAAATCAGTCCCAGAATTTTTGACAATGTCTTCCACAAATGAGAACACTTTCTTTGCAATGTTTAAATTGTAGGTCGTTGTATATTGGTTGGCCTACCGTGTATTCCAAATTTATCTTTAGCCAGTTGCAACACATTCTCACAAATTTTAATTAGGTCTGACATTGTGCATAAGAATTTTAAAAACCAAATGAAAATAGAGAAAGATTTGTTTTCATGAAAAACTGAAAAAGAGAATACAGACCATGTGTTCAGCCAGTCAGCAACTTGTGCGAGGCATCGGGCGCCGGACGTTTCATGATGAAACTCTATGCTACCCATGCTCACACGCTCGTCATAAATATCGTCACAGATTGACGAAAAGTGATCTTTGCACGTAAATTTCACCACTTTACGCCATAAATCGCATATTGTGGTCATTTTGGTATAGGTGGGAACCCTGGATTCAACCGGCACCTCGGAGGTTTCCCTTGTAAGAGAAGGCCAGACCAGTGGTGAAATTGTAGTTTGGTGTAAACTACAGTAAAATAAATAAATAAGTGGACAAAATCCCTAAATTTCTTTTAATTATGATTATTACGTACAATAAAATAAAATTTAATAAGTGACAATCTCAAAACGTGCTCAGAATGCAAAAGAAACTATATCCATCTCTACCTCATCTTTTTACAATTTTAATTTCTCTAGTTATCTCTTCTAATTTGCGACTTCTGTACATTGAGAAATACCGGTTTTACGTTTTGAGTATTTACGATAAGTAATGCAGCATTAGTTGATTTGACGTGATTAAGACTTTGATTACAACTTGTATAAATTTTGTGATGGATGAATATATACATATTCTGCTCCGATATTGTTATAGAGGTTCATTTTACAACCGTTATATTTATTTAGTTTTATTCGTAAATAGGTAAAATTTAAATCTATGTACGTATGTATATAGTGCTTACATTGACGGACGGCGGATTCAGAAAAATGTGGGGACAGCATATCATTACAGTCCAGAGTATAAAATTATCTGTATGTATGTATGCAAATTCATCCAATAAATGTGCAATACTAATTTATTTTTAATTAAGAAATTTGTCGATTCCTCCATACATAATCGCAATAATCATAGTCCCGATACCGATCTGTGCAAGCGTTGACATACTGTACGAGTACACACATACACATTTATTCGGATACGTGTATATGTGGTTATGCATAATGTTCCCATACATAAATATGTACATACATACATACGTGACTTTAAATTTTTATCTCAATTTTTCACACTTCCCCACTTTGCATGCTAAATATCAAAGAAGTAAATATTTTCAGATTGAGCGTACAACCACTATATCATACTTTAATTCCATGCAATATGAATATTTATCACTTGACTTATCAAACTGTACTTCAAGATGTGTGTAAATCCATTCATCGTGTTCACGAAAACCATGACCCTGACTTTTGGATTGAACATGCAACCACGCTAATGCGATAATCCTACCGTACCACCAAATTTATAAATTTATGTAATTCCCAGCTCAATTAAATACACATAATTTCTCTCGGGTTCAGTTAGTCGTCATCAGTTATTGCGTATGTAGAAGTTGCGTCCACTAAATTTAGTGAATTCTCATTTGGTCAAAATGACGACCGATTCAAAAATTTTAGCATATTTTAAATCGTTGCGAATAGTTCACCTAATCTTGGCCGTGAGTTTTGTCACTGCCGGACTTTGCGTGAACTTCGTACAAAGTGTTTTATTCGTTACGTTAAAACCCATTAATGCCAGATTGTACCGCAAAATTAATTATTACGTCACCTATTTCTTGAATTGTTGTAAGTTTTTGGTAAAGTATAATTGTTATGAATAATGTGCCCGATAATTTGTATTTAAAAAATATTTAGTTATCGTCTACATGGTGGAATGGTGGTCCGGGTCGGAAGCCATTATTTATGGGGATCCGGTCATGGTGAAAAAATGCATGGGGAAAGAACACGCGCTTCTATTAATTAATCATAATTTAGAAATTGATTGGTTATTTGGATGGACGATTTTCGAAAGGTTGGGAGGTTTAGGAGTGAGATGGATTTATTTATAATATTTAAAGAATTATATATTTAAATTAATGGACTTCTGAACTTATGTAATTATTATTTGCACTCAGAATATTCGTTCCTATTGCAAAAAAGTTTTGCAATACGTCCCAATTTTTGGATGGTCTTGGAAATGTCAGGAATTCGTTTTTCTTGATAGAAATTGGGAAAAGGATCGTAAAAATTTAGGCCGACAGTTACGAGCACTGACACAATATCCGGATCCTGTCTGGGTAATAATTACTTAATGGGCTTACTAACGTCAACGTTTTAATTTCGCAAATAAGTAGTAATTTGCAAAATAACCTTGTAAAATCGAGATATTTTCAATCCTTGAATAAATTTAGAAATAAAAATCCTACGGGCTTGTATATAGCAAGGAATTTCTCAAATCCGGGAAAACATGATTTTGTGTTGAAAAGATGCTGAATTTGCGAAATTTTCGAGCCAATTATGAATGTGTAGGTTGGCCTGCCATGCAGACGCTCAATTAAATAACCTTTGTTTTTTAAAGCTATCCCTGTTTCCTGAGGGGACCAGATTTACATCGGACAAACATGCCGCTAGCATGAAAATTGCTGCCGAAAAGGGTCTCCCTCTCTTGAAACATCACCTTCTCCCAAGGACGAAAGGGTTCACGGCGAGTATTCCACATCTTAGGGGAAAGTTTGATGCGATCTATGATGTCGTAATGGCTGTTGAAAAGTTAGTTCAAAAGATTTTGACAGAATAAGTTGACGTGTATAAGTATTTGTAAATATGCAAATATATAAATAATTCATTTATTAATATTAAGGCTTGCAACAGACTTTTGCTCAATTTGACTGTGTCCCAAATTTTTGCATGGAGTTTTATGCTTGTGTTTTTTTAAATTTTCCAGGACTTGTAACAATCCTGCCTCCGTCGTATCCATGATGGAAGGAAAACCATTAAAGATTATTTCACTCTACAGACGAATTCCGATGAGTCAAGTTCCCGACGATGAGACGGAGGCAGCAGCCTGGTTACAGAAACTTTACCAAGAAAAGGTATTGAGAATTTTCGATATTTGTTCAAAATTAAATTCGGAGATGTTTCCTAAAAAATAACTCAAATTTTCAAACTAGGATAAAGTGCTGGACAATTACGAAAAATATGGGAAATTCGTCCCGGAGGAAGATCGAGACAAAGAGGAGTACAAAACTTACCAAAGTTTTGAAACGTTCCAACTCCCCCGAAGATATTATACTCTTTGTATTGCGACGATTTGGGGTTGCATTGTTATGATGGGATTAAGTCGGTACTTTTGGCATGTCTTGATGAGTGGGAGTGTCGCCCAAATTCTTCTCCTGGTCTCCGTCTGTGGTGGAGGTGAGTAGATATAATTTTTTGTTAATCAAGTAGCGCTTGTGGAGTTAATGATTCATGATTTATTCGCATTCTTCGTATCGTAAAATAATTAAGTTGCGAGGTTTACGAGATTTTGTAAGCTTCGTAAATTTTTGTTACTAGAAATACTAGAGTTACTAAACTTACAATTTTTACGAAGCTGGACCTCTCTCTTTTTTCTCCGTAAACTATTTTATGATACGAAGGATGCAAAGCAATTGTGAATACCCTCAATGATAATTATGCTTTTTCTTTCTGTAGCGTATGCAGGGTTAAATTATGTAATAAATTTGACCAAGATTAGTACCAGTTCCAGCTATGGCACTTCCAAAGCGAGCTAATCAGTTCAATACTTAAATTGAACAGAATTGGAATATTTTTGTAAATTTGGGAAGAAATCGAATGAATAAAAAACCAATGCAAAATTGTGAATTTAAAAACATATGTAAGTAACTTTCTTCGAAGTGCATTTCTTCCACATTGAGATATTTATCTGGAATCAACATTTTCCAAGGTTTAAAAAAATAACGGGTGGAGGAAAATTTTTCCAAGAAAATGATGCGAAATAATTCCTGTTGTTATCACGAGTAAAATGTTTATGCGAATTTTTGTTTTACTTTTATTTGTTTATTAAATACATATGTACATAAATAAAAATTGATTGGATTAGGTTGATATTTTTTACATTAATAACTGGATCACAGATAAATACTACAAAAATACACGGTTTCATGGATAACCCTAATTTAAAAGTTGCCCCGAACTTTCCTGCAGAAGTGGTTCATATCATTTGAAATTCATGAACACTTTTTTCAAAAATAAAATTGAATTTATGTAAAGCCAGCAAATACATATATACAAATATTTCTATCACCTTAACTATTTTCCCCTCGCTCAACCACATTTATCCCCTTCTTTAAAAATATTTGTATAATTTATCACACAAAATATAATCGCTCCACCCGACGCAGCACCAAATTGTTGGGCGAAACCGCACCAAAACATGGCTTGGTTGCCACCCTTATCATTCAATTCTAGAGACACCATAGTCTTCATGTAGGAAATCAGTGCAACATAGCTGACCCATGACGCCACCATGATCACTGACCCATAACTTGTCCCCAAAAATGGGGGGTATGGACTTTCCACGGCACACACTAAAATATAAACACCAATCCCTGATCCAATAAGTGTCAATGAATTTAGTACCCGCGGAGTTCGAATTTCCAAAAAGAAGCCAACCGTACACGCCCCCGGGTATGCAAGTCCCGCCAAAGTGACGGCATAAAAGAACACGTCCGCACTGTGCGGCAGGCACGAATAGGATTGGAGCGACGGCATAGCGCCAAACGTGGTAAAACATCCCCACGCCATTAATCCCAAGAGCCAAATGAATTCCCGGGTGAATTTGAAACTCCCGGGATTTTTCTCGGAACAAGTTACTTCCTCTTCTGGTGGGATTTTCTTATCTGGAATAAAATTTTCTGCGGCTGACTCCAACTCAATATCCGTTTCCAGGTCGATCCGTTCACTGCGACAGAGTGATAACTGGTCCATTAAGGTGAAAGCGATCCAAGATACGAGTAAGATGACGAGCAAAAATATGAAGAATACATTTGCAGAAAATCTGGGGTGTTTTTGCTCACTTGTACTAATTATTTTGTCATTTAATAAAAATTCTTCATCATCACTGGTTATATTAAGTTCTTCGTTGGGACAATTAGCTTCACTCTCGTCCGTAATTCCTTGCGCTAGTGCGACCAAACTGGGCAAAAATCCGCTTAACCCTTCCCCGATTAGATAAGGGGTCATGTGGTGCCCCTTAAATCGCGCCATGTACGGAAGGAACACGACGGAAGACGTACAATCCACTATCGACAGGCCATAGGAGGCTAAATATAGGACGATCGACCTCTCTTTTCCCGCGATGACGAGGGTCACGTCCCACCAACCGATCAACGCGATGCAGGCAATTGTCCCGATTAGCATTTGCACGTGGATGGCGACAACTTCACTGCACAATTTATTGACGCGGGCGTACCAGTAAATTAACGGGCCGACGTTGGCGAGTTGGATCATGACCGTAAGGTAGGAACCGAGCGCCCAACTTTCCGGAAGCTTTTGAGTCAGGTGAGGTAACTCTACCCACAAACCGGTCATCGCGATCCAAGAGCCAAAACCGAAAAATATTGATAACGTTTGAACAAATGTTTTATATTTGGGGTTGTAGCGTTCCATGATTTTGGAATTAGTAAAAAAATAATTTGTAAAATTATGAACTGTTTGCAAGTATTTTTTATTTTTAGAGTGTTGCAAAATAATAAGTTGCACACTTGTTTCAAAAGTTATGTAAGTATTGTCATGGTTACGAGAATGTGTGTCATGAATAGTTATTCGATTTTGTTAGCAACTAATTATGAAGAAATGGCAAGTTAACAACTAAACGTCAAGCGTGTAAGTAATTATAACGATATTTTCGCATGTGGAAGTTACTTATACATGGCAAATTATCGCTTTACATACATAAGCACTTGTATAAGTTACCTGCAAATTGCTTGCACAATAAGCAAAACAGTGTATACCAAAGGGAGGGCAGCCTGGTGGATACGAATTTGGCCTTGAATAACCCCGGAACGGTTTGTCGTAGCGGGTCAAAATTTTGAACAGAAGAGCATGTTATCCTCAGATAGTTGTGTGCAAAATTTCAGCCCTCTACTTTGAAAAATGCCTGCCCCCCAGCCCCCAGAAGCTGAGACAGTCATTTCAACTTTTTCCAAACTCCGTCTAAAAAATTCGGTCCCCACAGAAAGATTTTCTTTTCATCTATCCGAACTCAAACAAGTCGATTTGACTTATATCAGGGGATTGTATAGGTATTTCACTATTCGAAATGATTTTTATCCCCAATCTAGGTTCAAGGTCATTTGCATAATCTTGGGTCAACTTTGCCGTCTGGGAGGACGCTCCGTCATGATGAAAAATCACCTTAATTATTATTTTACCGTGCAAATTAGGAAAATTGTATTCTAAAAGTGGTTTCAGTACATGGTCCACATAATACTTCGAAGATTCCTTCACTTTTTGGGGGACTTTGATAAGTGGGAGGACACCACGACAGGACATTGCACCCACGACCATCAACTGTTTACAAAAGTTCTCCTCACTGAAAAGCACGAAATTTCTTGAATTTTTTTTCGGCATTTGTCGTGTAGCAAGCTCTTCGAACCCAATTAGTAACTTGTAGGGAAAATAGTTCTTCGTCAATTGTCACCAATAGCTCACTCATATTCCTCAACAGAAAATTCAAATAAAGTTTTTTGTAAACACGGGCGAGATTTTTTCTGGAACAAGTTGAAATGACTGTCTCAGCTTCTGGGGGCTGTGGGGCAGGCATTTTTCAAAGTAGAGGGCTGAAATTTTGCACAGAACTATCTGAGGATAACATGCTCGTCTGTTCAAAATTTTGACCCGCTACGACAAACCGTTCCGGGGTTATTCAAGGTCAAATTCGTATCCACCAGGCCGCCCTCCCTTTGGTATTTTATCCATGTTTCTGTAAATAAATTACGTTGGGACAAGTCATAAAGCCTGTGAGATGAAGAGTTGGACATTGGCAAATGGAAAATACATAGGAATTGCAAATCCTGAAATGATCACAATGATCACATGCTTTATGTATGGTCAAAAGTATAATTACTTTATTATCAAATTACTTGTTATCTAATGACTGGTATTGTTCTTTGGGGTGATAATCAATGTAAATTACATGCATCTATTGCAAAGTACAATGGATTTGACTTATGACTGAAATAAAGTAAATACATGCTTGCATAAATATTTATTTGGTACATATAATGTCAATTGTCCTCCCACGCTCCAATTCGATTGTATTGGTTCACAGATTTATAACTTTATGGACGCGACTCTTTCTCGTGACTTAGGATTAGTCAGATACATATTATGTACTTTGCCATATAAGGATACTTATATTTCCCTGAAGAAAGATGATTTTTTCTATCTTTATTTGTATTTAAAAAGGTATAAGAATATGTATGTAGCGTTGTTACGTATCATTTCTCTTGACATAAATCCCATAAAAATCAGCAAAAAATAAACGCCAAGGGCACCCGGGATTCCCAAGCGGTCACCCATCCAAGTACTAACCGGGCCCGACGTTGCTTAACTTCAGTGATCGGACGAGAACTGGTGCATTCAACGTGGTATGGCCCTTGACGAATGAACAACGCCTTTCGCCACCACTTATCAAGACAAATTCATGGTTCATGTATAATATAAGCAAATGATTATAATGGGTTGATGTTGAAAATTCACTTTTCGGTCGTCCTTCCTTCCATTATGGAGACACATGTAAGAAATAAAACGACGTATGTACATAGGTATGAGATGGCACGTGAATAAGATATTATACACACCTTTAACGACGATATGTTTTTGTCATGAGTGTTTAAATATTCAGTACGGCTTAAATATTTATTTCTTGCGAAATTGTGTATAATTTTGCACTGCATATGGTATTGTGAAATGTACTGTAAAGTGATAAATGCATAAGACATCTCTTTCTGTGTCAGTGTGCATTAGAAATGTCGCAGTGAAGGAAATTCATGGCCTAATTTAAGTGCAGTTTCACTTTAAAAAATATTTAAAAACGTTTAAAATATTATCGAACATTATTTAAAATTTGAATCCTACAAAAATCTGACAGGATGTCGTCACCGATTTTGTGCAGTACCGTTTGGTCTCTAATTATCATTCTTTTCCTGCTATGGGGAGGAAATGGGCAATATTTTGGGGACGGTTGTGACCACAGTGGGGACAGCGTGAAAGACATTGACGCTTGTGGAGGACCCGACAGCAACATGTCCTGTACCGAAGAGAGTATTTGTCAGTGTGTCGGTTTTCCTGGGGACGAATCCGGACAAGCGTTCGAGGTAGCTGAGGATAGCATGTCATGTTACCCGGTACCCATTGAACCGGATGTGTAGTGATAAGACCCCGTTATCGGTTAATTCAATAAGGACTCCATACATACATACCATGATTGTCGAGAAAATTAAATGCATTCATACGTAGTGAGAATATAGCCAAATGTATAGTTTTATATTTTTACGTGATATGTAAAATATTTGACCACCTTTGAACTGTTATTGGTTTTGAGAAAAGTTTATTGGATTTCGTATTTATCCGATGTGTGAATTTTTTATACGACTCGTAATTACGCTATGTTAAATATAATCTAGAATAAAATTAAAGATTCTTGATAAATACTTGATGCTGTTTGGAAATTATTTTTTAGCCGGTTGTAATTGGGACCTATATGTACATACATACTTGCAACAATGAATTTCACTTCACTATCTACCTGGTACATTCATACATATTTACCTACGTACTTATCAAAATTTAATTTCCATCCGGTATTTATTTGTGTCTAGCCTAGTAAAAATTTAGGTTGAAATGAAAAAAATAGATTATACCCACGAGATTGCTAGCTTTTCGGTAACCATTTTCAATCTTATATTCAGTCAACTCCCTCTTTAATTCCATACTGGATGGCAATCTAACTAAATTTAAACTAGTAACATAAAGTCACGTAAATATGTATGTACATACGCTATGCTATTTAAAATAATCACAATGTCTGATAATCTTACTTATCAGTTATTTAATTGGGTTTCTTTAAATTACAAAAATGCAATGGGAAATATGTTCATGAATATTTTAACCATTGCTCCATCAATTAGGTATTTCAAGAACGAAAATTATATCCATAAATTGAACGTAGATTTGGATTATCTGATTAAAAACTAATCATTTATTGCAGCGAAAAATATGTATATAAAGTCGAATAAATATTACACATTATTCAAGTCAGTATGATCTGGGAAGCTATCTGACCATAAAAACTTGTAAAGTCTTAAAACTTCATCCAGAACGAAATTCATTTTTTTTGTATGAAAAACTAGAAAAATGTTCACTCCTTTATATTTTAAACTGCTCGAGATGCAGACCAGATTTTGCACCAGTGTAGGAGCTTCGCCGATAAGTTTCGACCCAAAAAGGAGAAAGTGCTTCATCAAGCCACATTCTAGGATTAGAGCCCTGTTTTGTCTCCTGTATTGGATTGTGTTCACCTTATTTTGCTGTGGACGAACGATAGAAATTTCCCTTCATTCTGATAACAAGTTAGAGAATCGGCACTTTCACATGTGTTATGCAACGTCGCAATTAACTTTAATCGTGCTGGTTGCCCTAGTCATTACTAATGAAAAGCAGGATGTCATGGCGAACGCGATGTCGCAGGTGCTCCTATTTGTGGACAAATTTAAAAGTAAGGGAGTCAAATAATTGTTATTAACGTGATTGATCCCGATTTTGTTGTCGGTTGTGCTTAAAGATAATAGGGATCTTCAATGCGAGTTGTCAAAATGTTTGTTTGAAAGCAATTTTGCGAATTAAATACTAGCCTTGGAGATGAGAACGTTGGCAAATAAATTTCCAAGCCGAAATGTTTTGCGTATTTTTTGGCAACTCCGTTCGTTGCTAACGTTGCGAACGATGCAATAAATATGAACTTTATAGGTTTTGTCAAGGGCCACTGACATAAACAATTTTGTTACGGCACAAGTACAAATGTATGTAAATGGTTTGAAATTCCCGGACATTGTTGCCAAAATCATCATACATAAAACGATGAAATTGTATTTTATCCACTAAAATAAATCGGTAACAAATTATGATTAATTTAAAATATTTATATCTTTTAGGACAATGGATGCCGACTCGCAACGCAGAAAAGGAATTTCTATCAAAGGCCATCGACTACTTGATTATGCTCACCATGATATCTTCCTTCTTCTTGGTTCAGTTTATGATAGTCTTCTACGTAATGTTTCCGGAAACCCCGATATTTCCGCACACCGTATTTCCAAAGAAATGGAACATTGACAAAAGTTGGATCATATTTTTCTTGGAGCTAATATTATCTGCATTTTCGTGCACTGTGGCTGTTTCGATGCTTCTGGTATTGACGGTGTTTGGATTGGCTTATTTCTGTAAGCTTTTTAGATGCACTTAAATATTTATTATTTTGGGGAAATTAGCGATGGTGAAGGTTGGCGGTTACGTAATTTATAATGAGG